GTGGTCATCATCTTTCGCATCTGGCTCTCTTTTCTAGCACTTGCAGTGCATGTGTTAGGACCTTTCTTCCCCTTGAGGTTCCTTTTACACATATCCTGTTACTGTCTCTGTTGCTACATTTGTCTGCGATTGGTTTTTCGCTTCTTTTGCCACCTCTTACTTGCATCATCTGCGATTGATTTTTGCTTCTTTTGCCACCTCTTACTTGCATCAACTCTACTTATCCAGTCTACAACTTCACATGTTGTACAAGTTTCATTCACACGCAGTTTCATCTCCTCATACCAGATTATTACCACACTCAAGGCGTTTCAGGTTCTGGAAATTTTTAATTTACAGATTTCCCATCAACATCCCAGTATTTCAATCACTATCAGACCTATTTCATGCCTGTCATCACGAACCGGGCATCAATCTTAAATGTAGGGCGACAATTGCTTGATCCAAGGATAAATCCGACTGCCGTTCTGGGGTCAAGAAGGAATTTTTCCCTAGCTTGTTGCAAATTGGAAAGCGCTTCAAACTGGGTTTTTTCACCTTCTTTTGGATCAACCATTTTAATCACAATACGAGGTAGGCCGGACTTGGTTTTAGCTAAGTAACCATGTAGTCGAGCCACTATACCTGCTTTCACCTTTTTCTGGGGGCCCACATATTTCCCAGATCCACCTCGTCATCTTGTAGCATTATCTCAGGAAGTCTCACCTATTCATGCAGTCTATTGGTTACCCTCTCTACCCCACACTTAGTTTTCCCTAGTTGGCCAACACGTTTAACAGACCTTACTTCCCCCTTGCTATGACTGGGGGAACACTGAGTGGGCGGCATCTAGGCGGCCCACGGTCGCAGGGGTCGTAGCTGCGGCCGCGCCCCCTGCAGTGAGGGGCTCGGTCGTAGCTGCAACCCCAGTGACCGTGGTAGGTACGCCACTGCTTGACACATAAAGCACTTCAGCATGATAGAGTGCTTTAAGGGTCCGGAGTGTCCATTTAACAAAAAGGTAAGAGTTCTAAAGCACATGGGCTAGCTGTGAATCCAACTAAACAAATGTGTAAATGTGGTAAGGCAGCTGTGGAGTAGAAAGTTACATTCTGGAAACACTGCAGGTATGAAATAAGTTTATTTTATAGTTTGTTCTTGTCTATGCATAACAATACATGAGAATAATTTTATCTATTCAAGGTAGAATTTCAAGAAATTAAATTAGCCCACTTTTTGCTGAATAGTAATACACAGGGGCAATTCAAACAGAGCTTATGAAACACAAACTATTCTTTCCATTTCAGTAATTATCATGTTGAATGCATTGAATAAACAGATTAAAGACAATTATGAATATTTTATAATGAATGAAGAAGTCATATTTTATTTACACAGATCTTTAATTTGTTGACTCTAATCTAATATTTATACAAATGCTTTGTGTAGCTCACTTTGTGGCAGATATTGTTAAGATCTTACAGTTCTGTGTTGAACAGAACTTTATATTTGAGGCTACCTAGTCTTCATATGAGAGGGGGGACATCAGGGTCATCTATAAAGTATTCATTATTTTCGATGACTTTTGGCATGCCGGTCTGTAACTGTAGTGGCCCCTGTGGTGCAGAGCTCCTTTCTTTGACAATATTAGCCAAGTCAGGAAATGAATAGGCCTTAGGATCTACTTCAAGTTTCTCAACTGTTTTTGTGCTGCAAAGAAAGAAGAAATGATAAAGTGTAAACAGAGATTACTGCGCATGTTACCATTCACAAACACTCACAAGATGCTGACAACCAGAAAACAATGCAAAGAAACATAGATAAAAGTAAATGTTTTCTTTTTTTGTTTTAAAAAAAATCCTTTTCAGAATTCTGTTTAAACCAACCTCTCCATATTACTAATGTTATTTTCATACAATATAACAATAATACATTTAGAGATGTGATTATTGTGTGAGGATTTAAGGAATCCCCCCACTGAATAAAACGTTGAAAATCGCCTATGCATCAAATGACATGCATACGTGTAAATGACAGAGCCGCTTTAACTGTTCACAAAGAGTATATCCTTCAATGTCCTAAGATATAAATGAATATCATATAGGGCTATTCACAACGGTGTAAACGTTGTCAGGAATTGAAAGTGAATTTCAAATTGTAGGATTTTTCACACAACTAATCCAAAAACATAGCCGACTCGGGAGAATGCCTCCAGTTCAGATTGAGGCCTAAAATTTAAAAGTAAGTATGATTTCTTGATAGTTCATACTTCAGTGAATAACCCTGAAAGTATTTTCTCAGGAAATATATATTTTGCTTTCACTAGTTTTTTTTTTTCTAATAGATTGTGATAATTTGAAAAGCTTATCCAAAAGAATTAAATTGAGGCAGCTGTTACAGATAATTATATTATTACACATTGTGCCGAACAAGAAAATATATAGTACCCGAGGAAGGAGATACTGAACTAATAAAGGTTAAAGGGACACTATAGTTAACAGAACAAGTACAGCTTAATGCAGTTGTTTTGGTGAATATAGTCAATCCCTGCAGGCATTTTCATGTAAACACTGCCTTTAAAAAAAAAAAGGCAATGTTTACATTACTGCCCTCTGACCTATGGTCACTTAAACGGCCATTAGAGGTGCATCACTCTGCATAGAGGCGCTGAAGTTCCTTATAGAGATGCACTGACTCAATTAATTTCTACGAGGATATGCAGCCACCCTCTGCCTCCTTGGCTGAGATAATCAGAATTGACAAACTCCGCCAATCCAATGCTTTCCCACATGAAAGCATTGGATTGGATGAGATAGTTAATTCTGATGATCTCAGCCAAAGGGGCGGATCAAGGCCAAACCAGTGCCAGCTTAACCACGCGACGTTGGAATAAAGGTACATTTATGGCCCTTTTAAGGTTTAACACTACAGGGTCAGAATACACGTTTGCATTTCTGACCCTATAGTGTTCCTTTATGGATGAATGCATACAGTCAATCATAATGTAAACAGCAGTCTGCATTGTGTTTGGGGTACTGGGTACTAAATGCTGTTCTATATTAGCTAAACCAAATCTGCAGAAAATGTAGGTTTAAAGGGAAATTCCAGGCACTAAAACAACTTTTATGCATTTTATGGTCTTTTGGACTAAATAATTGGCTGTATATTTGCATGTACAGAGAGGTGCATGATGACACAGGTCCACCCTGCCTGCCCCTCCCTCCTATGCAATGCTTTTATCTAATTATACTGTTGTACATGCCACTTAGTAGCACAGCAAACGTTTATGAGAGTCACAGTTTAGTTGAGTTCTTTCATAGAAAGTGGACATGTGAAATACAAGCCCTGGACACTTCTGTTCTGATTGTATCTGCTAGCTGGCTCTCTTTGCTCCTCCCCTTCTTTCTGCTTGGCTCTCTCTGATAGTAACAGGAAGTGACCTGCTGTCACTTCCTCCCAGCATTATGATAATCACAGGGTTGCACCAGCGGTAGTTCCGCCACTGAGGACACAGCTCAAGAAAGACTGAAGTTTGAAAGTTATCCGTGCCACAAATCTATTAAAAACCTTGTTTTATCATATATAACTTTGCGTTGGTTGTTTTTGGATATTTCTACATTCACTATCTATATAATGCACTAAATAGGAATGGGTAAATTACAGCCTGAAGTGTCCCTTTAACGTGATAATAAAAAGTGTGTTTCTTTATTGCTGCCGTATGATTCTATAGCTTATTTTATTTAGTGTTCAAAGAAACCAAAAATCCTGGGGCTTCCATTTAAACACTGCCATATTTTGTAATTATACATGTTATTGTTACTATGCTACATAATAGCCAGGTGCATAAACAGAAATACTATAAGAATCTAGTCATGTGGAGAATAGTTAAGAAATACAGATCGGAAGCTGTTGGGACTTAGCATGCGGTGCATGTTGGTTCAAAGCAAACCTAAAATTGTAATTCAATAGAAAGAACAAATCCACATCACGCAGGGAACTGCCTCTCAGTTAGATATATAACAATCTTCACATAATCACTGGGAATGAGTAACAAGGTGGGAATTCAACGCTATGAACCGATATTGCGCAGAGTCAATGGCACAATCTTCGCATAATCACTGGGAATGAGTAACAAGGTGGGAATTCAACGCTATGAACTGATATTGTGCAGAGTCAATGGCTCAGCATCCACAATGTTTTTTTGGGCCAGTTAAAGAAGTTTTATTTGTAAAAATATTACGGCGCCACTTCATTAAAGGAACATTAGAGTCAACCAGATCACTTCAACTCAATGAAGTGGTTTGGGTCCTGTCATTTCAAACATGCAATGTAAAATATTAGTTTTTTTTAGAAACTGCAATGTTTATATTGTAGGGTTAAATCCACCTTTTAGTGTCTGTCTTCCCAACAAGGTGCTTCTCTTCCAGGCAGAGCATTTGATTGGAGGAGCACAGTGTTTGGCCATGCAGAACTTGTTCCAATCGATTGGTTCTCTATGAGAAGCGATGGATTAGAGGAGATCGCGGGTGATGTCAGTCTGGATGCTGACATCACTGGGACGCAGATCTGGATGCTACAGTGGAGAAGTCCCAATGCTAGAAAGGAAGTGCGTAATCAATCATTACTTATAATCTTTATATTCATTTTGACTGTGTTGGAATTTCACAAAAATGTCAACCCAGTCAAAAGATATACTGAAACTAAAGACTACTTTGTCTTGTAGCAGATTGCTCTCCAGATGACATGGGGCTACGGAATAAAAAAACGAAGCTGGATAAACCCCCTACAATGGCTGATATCAGAGTCCTCCTGCGGAGGCCCCAAAACTCCCAAAGGCCCGCAATGGCGTCTCAGATAGAAGGCCTCTATAACTCATCTAGCGAGGCTTCTGGGTCTGATGAGGGTGACTACGGCACTCAAGCTAGGAGCAGACCGACCCACTCATCTGCGAAACCTCAATCACGGAGGAGAAGCTGAGGGACATGCTTGGTGAGCTGCGCCGCAGTATTGCAGCTTACATCGGCACGTTCCGTGAAGAAATCAGCGGAGTATCGGCCCGCATGCAAAACACAGAGCTTGACACTGCCGCACAGGAGAGCAGACTAGCAACGGTAGAGCAACAACTCTTGGTCCTACAAAAAGCCCAACGACAACATCAAGACAGCATGGCTGCACTTGAAGATCAGAGGCGCTGGAAGAACGTTAAAAACCGCGGCCTACCTGATGCGGTGGAGACCGCAGAACTACCACACATGTTCCGCAGAATGCTCGGATCACTCTTTCCTGCCAAACAGGCCAAAGGGATGCCACTAGACAGCTGGTATCGGATCACCAAACCCAAGACAAGTACCTTAGAGGGAGGGAGAGATGCAATTGTGCACTTCCAACAAGGCAGAGACCGCACGGCCTTCATGGCAGCAGTGCGCAAAAGAAAAAAAACCCTACACTTTGAAGGACATTCCCTGACATATCCAAAGCCACCATGGATTGGAGAAGGTCCCTGAGACCCTTAACTACAAAGCTCCTTACACATGATATACCCTACCGATGGTGCTCATACCCAGGGAGACTGGCAACCTCAAAGTACGAGAAGCGGCCGAGATCCCAGCCACACTACAGAAACTGGCGCTGGGAGAGCAAACACCTGAACAAGCTACAGTTGACCCAAAGATGACACCCACGGCCTGGAATCCAGCTACAGCACACCCGTTCATACCGGCGGCCCAACGAGGAGAAACAGCATCCACTTCGGTGCCCTGAACTTTCCTGTAAATAATTAACAATGTAGTGGCTGTTATATATAGCTCACAGTTCCATAATTTTCCATGTGCATCGTTTTAAAGTTAAAGGTCCACTATAGTGCCAGGAAAACATACTCTTTTTCCTGGCACTATAGTGCCCTGAGGGTGCCCCCACCCTCTTGGTCCCCCTCCTGCCCGGCTCTGGGGAGAGGAAAGGGGGTAAAACTTACCTTTCTCCAGCGCTGGGCGGGGAGCTCTCCTCCTCCGTTCTTCCCCGTCGGCTGAATGCGCATGCGCGGCAAGAGCTGCGCGCGCATTCAGCCGGTCGCATAGGAAAGCATTATCAATGCTTTCCTATGGACGCTTGCATGTTCTCAAATCACGCAAGCGCCTCTAGCGGCTGTCAATGATACAGCCACTAGAGGCTTTGGGGGAAGGATTAACCCATTTGTAAACATAGCAGTTTCTCTGAAACTGCTATGTTTATAAAAAAATGGGTTAACCTAGCTGGACCTGGCACCCAGACCACTTCATTAAGCTGAAGTGGTCTGGGTGCCTAGAGTGGTCCTTTAACGTTAATTTTGTTTTATAATTAAGGCATACTTGCATAACCTCCAAGAGAAATACCCTCACACTGATCTGGCTCCACTTAAACACCCCAACCCCTCCACCATAGGAACAAACAGTACTTGCCATCTTACGAGTATACAGGAGGGCACTGCAATGGTGAATAGATCTAATGTGGTCGTCTATATAGTCCAACTCACAAATGATGGAGCCTGTTAAAGGAACTGGCTCAGGTAGTGTCACTTAGAGAAACGTTCTCAGATTAATTCCAAAAGGATGGAGCTTGATCCTCAATATATAGGAGAAACAGGATAGGCAAACACCAATTAGAAGTATAACAACAATTTCATTTATTAAAAAAATATATAAAATCTTACATTCAGAATTCTGTGATGCCATAAAAGAGCACAACGCGTTTCGACGATAGTATCAGCACATATTAACCAAATTCACAATGGTGAAACAAAAAATTAGCATTTAAGAATCTTAAATAAAACTGAGATGAAATGGATTTTTGAATTAGAAACCCTCTCTCCTAACGGCTTAATTATTGATTTTGAGATGTATAATTATATATGATAACTTTTATATCCTTTTCATGTATTATTAGAATATTTTATTATTATTTTTATCCTGAAAAATTCTTTTATTTGTTGTTGTTTTTACTGATTACATTTTCATGTGTTTCCCTTTTTTCTCTGAGCCATCCTGATTACTTATATGTAAGGACTACTATATGAATAATAAGGGATTTTGAAAACTGCGATAAGCAGTCCGTAATGAACATATTGAATTTTGAGGCGAGACGCATAGGGAAGAAAAAGTAAGAGTGGTGGAACGCACCAGTACTACAGGTGGCACGCACGCGAACCCGGAAGTACCAGTGGTGGAACGCACGAACACAGAAGTAGGGGGATATGATTACGGTATTATTAAAGTCCGGATTGGATGATGAAATGGACAGATTTGATTGGTTTATGGGCAAAGGGGGCGGGTTCCAAGTACCCGTTTTCAACGTCAAAATTCTTTTTAAAATGTGTATGGAGTTTGTTTTTATTATTGCACCTGAGGAAGACGAATAATATCGTCGAAATGCGTTGTGCTCTTTTATGGCATCACAGAATTCTGAATGTAAGATTTTATATTTTTTTAATAAATGAAATTGTTGTTATACTTCTAATTGGTGTTTGCCTATCCTTTTCCTCCTATATATATTGAGGATCAAGCTCCATCCTTTTGGAATTCATCTGAGAACGTTTCTCTAAGTGACACTACCTGAGCCAGTTCCTTTGTTAACAGGCTCCATCATATGTGAGTTGGACTATATAGACTACCACATTAGATCTACTCACCATTGTTTATGCTATGATTTTCCTGTTTTTTTGTACAGGGCTAATACCTACTGACATCTGTTACATTGGGGTATTTATCCTTACTTCTATTTGACTTACACATTCACCTAAGGTGGAAGCACCACTGATATATATATCTTTGTGAATTTATTACATGCGCTGCACACTTACCTATTGGTCACTAGCCGTAGGCAGGAAATGCATTACAGTTACTTAACTATTCATTACTTCTTATATTACTATATATTTCAAAATGTGCCATATTATCAATGCTGACAATTGTTTACCCTGCTGATTGAACAACTTGCACTAGCTGTTGGGGCAATGCAAGCATATATGTACCAATGAAAATAAAGAATTTAAAAAAAAAAAAAATTGTACGCACCCACGTGATGTTCCATGCAATACTGTTCCTGTTAGATAATTCACAAGGTTCAGTTTAAATAACAAATGTTGTTGTTGTTATGTACACACCCATTTAGTAGCCCTTCTCTGAACTCTCTCTAAAGTATCAATATCCTTCTGGAGATATGGTCTCCAGTCCTGCATACAATACTCCAAGTGTGGTCTCACCAGTGTTCTGTACAATGGCATGAGCACTTCCCTCTTTCTACTGCTAATACCTTTCCCTATACAACCAAGCATTCTGCTAGCATTTCCTGCTGCTCTATTACATTGTCTGCCTAACTTTAAGTCATCAAAAATAATCACCCCTAAATCCCTTTCCTCATATGTTGAGGTTAGGACTCTATCAAATATTCTGTACTCTGCCCTTGGGTTTTTACGTCCAAGATGCATTATCTTGCACTTATCCACATTAAATGTCACTTGCCACAACTCTGACCATTTTTCTAGTTTACCTAAATCATTTTCCATTTGGCTTATCCCTCCTGGAACATCAACCCTGTTACATATCTTAGTATCATCAGCAAAAAGACATACCTTACCATCAAGACCTTCTGCAATATCACTAATAATAATATTAAAGAGAATGGGTCCAAGTACAGATCCCTGAGGTACCCCACTGGTGACAAGCCCATGCTTCGAATATATTCCATTAACTACAACCTTCTGTTGCCTGTCACTCAGCCACTGCCTTACCCATTCAACAATATTGGAATCCAAACTTAAAGATTGCAGTTTATTGATAAGCCTTCTATGTGCAACAGTGTCAAAAGCCTTACTGAAATCTAGGTAAGCAATGTCTACTGCATCACCCTGATCTATAATTTTAGTTACCCAATCAAAAAAAATCAATAAGACATTGAAAACATGCATGGGCTACAGAGGGGAAAAACTTAATTCCTATTTACCAATGGAAATATCATCCCCCTCAATCATTCAGTTTACAGGATATATGACATGTAATTCTTCTTTTAGGTTACTTTTGGGCCACTAAAAAGACAAAAGAGACAGTCTCATGGCACAAAGCATTCACTCTTAATAAATGTGTTGCATTAACCAGAAGGAAGCGACTATATTGATCGACGACATTCTCCCAGCTAAATTACCTTTCAGATACTTCAGAGTCTATTAAGACATTTCAGAATACAGCACAGGCTGTTAACTCTAATATACCAGGACGTCTTTTTGACCAACGAGCATTACATTATATAATTCACACTGAATGTTTAATAAGTCATGGGTTCATAATTCATGGATTAAATTAAAATAAAAAGCACCTACTAATGAAAGTAGGGGCATGGATAAAACATAAGGACTTTTAGCTTCTCTGGTACACCCTACACGTTGAGCCGATTATATTTTCGGATAATTTTGGCCCTACTTATGGCTCTGCATCGGAAGCATTTCCTTGCACGCCACTTCCTTAAAGCGTACCTGCCATGGGACGCATATGTTTATTACATTTAAATGTAAATTACATTCCATCTGTACATTGTGCTAGCAAAATTTGAAGCAATTGTATAGATTAGGAGAAAAAAAATCAAACAATCTATAAATAGGTCCTTCCCACAACTATCAATCAATTCTTTAGCAAAGTGTTGTCATAAATCTGAGCAGGAGAACACTCATACAGGCATTTCTCCTGCTTTCTGTCACAAGTATCACCCCTTTACTACCTGTTGCTATATGAAATATATTTTTAATTATGGATTGGTTAATAAATATCTAAACTAGTTCTTGGGGGACATATAACGCCAGGAGTTGGCATTTGTATAATAAACACATATAAGTCGGACACCACTGAACAATGCTCCACACTTAATATGCAAGGCTAGATTTGAAGAGCAGTGGTGTCCAATAAGCTCAAAATGCAATATTATGATATATTATTATTATTATTTTATGGTAGTCAGAACTAATATGATAGCCTTACAAATTACAATTGTAGTATGTTTAAAATATGGTTATGGTTTCAATATAGTTGGATAAGTTTTCCAAATTATTTCATGTTTTTGAGTACACATTTATGATGATCCCCCCCCAAATTTTGCTAATACAAATGTTTTTCATGATATTGAACAGCTTTAAAATTGTATCCAAAAATATTAAATACTTTGGAAAGCGTATCCAACAATATCAAATCAAGACCTATGTTAGCATTGATTTCCTGCATTCTTACTGAACTACAGTTCCCATGATGCACAAGCAGCCTATGGCTTATATAAGGCAACAAATGGAGGTGAGTCGGTGCTGGATAGAAAAGATGGGATGTCATGGTACAGATTAGAAGGTGGACCCCGTGAAATGTCTTTGTTGGGTAAAAGAATGCCCACCTTAGACTGCGTATTTGGATTCATGTGGATGTGGTTAAGTTGGGAAATATTAACACACTCTTTGCTATCACACAATGCACTACGGTTAGTGGATGGTGAATTATCGGTATACAGGACTGACATCACAACCCACTCAGGAAGAAAAAAAAAGACCCACAATATACTTGCTAACCAACATCTGATACAAATTTGGTTAACTCATATTATTTTGCACAACTCAAATCCAACCTGTTCTATGCAAAGGGTTTCTTTGTGCCCACTTGCTAGTTTGGCGTAATGCAAAAATGTCACAGTCATGACGACTGCAGACTCGGAACACAAATGTAGGTGTGAACATCAGATATTAAAAAAAAAATAATCAGTATTTCTCAAATTACAAATTCTTTATTTATCTGGGGTGTCATGCTGCTTAATTGCAATTTTGCTTGAATGCCTTAAGATAGAAACTAAACAGCTGGAGGACTAAATCAAACTCCTAATTAGTGGAAAAAGTCATAAAATGGTCTATTAGGAAAATTAAGGAAATAGCATTTAGAGATGAATTTCATTAGGCAATGAATAATTCTGGCTGTTACTAGCTTTGAGAATAAAAAGGCTACATTTGGTTGAATGCATCCTGTGCATTGCATTTTCAATATGGATTCATTCAGCATGAAAACCTTTCTACTCTGCCGGAGAAGATGAAAATCACCAAAATACAGACTGATAAGGCAGGTTTTAGTGATAAAGTGTACAATACGTTGTAGTAATAATAGTGCTTGCTTTTTGTCATCCTAACTACGGTGCAGTCACTGCAACATGAACACGAAACAGCAACGTACAGTTAGTATGATAAAGGCCAATCATTTATGTGCAGTCTTCTTATCTAACTGAGGTCGGATTAGTTTAGAATGGCACTATAGAATGTACAGCAATATTCAGCTTATAGTATGCTATATGTATTCAGGTTACACAGTATGCTATATGTATCCAGGTTACACAGTATGCTACGTGGCACTATAGAATGTACAGCAATATTCAGCTTATAGTATGCTATATGTATTCAGGTTACACAGTATGCTATATGTATCCAGGTTACACAGTATGCTACGTGGCACTATAGAATGCACAGCAATATTCAGCTTATAGTATGCTATATGTATTCAGGTTACACAGTATGCTATATGTATTCAGGTTACACAGTATGCTACGTGGCACTATAGAATGCACAGCAATATTCAGCCTATAGTATGCTATATGTATCCAGGTTACATAGTATGCTATATGTATTCAGGTTACATAGTATGCTATATGTATCCAGGTTACATAGTATGCTATATGTATCCAGGTTACATAGTATGCTATATGTATCCAGGTTACATAGTATGCTATATGTATCCAGCTTACATAGTATGCTATATGTATTCAGGTTACATAGTATGCTATATGTATTCAGGTTACACAGTATGCTATATGTATCCAGGTTACACAGTATGCTATATGTATTCAGGTTACATAGTATGCTATATGTATCAGGTTACATAGTATGCTATATGAGGCAGTATTTAGGTTACACAGTATGCTACGTGGCACTATAGAATGCACAGCAATATTCAGCCTATAGCATGCTATATGTATCCAGGTTACACAGTATGCTATATGTATTCAGGTTACATAGTATGCTATATGTATCCAGGTTACATAGTATGCTATATGTATCCAGGTTACATAGTATGCTATATGTATCCAGGTTACATAGTATGCTATATGTATTCAGGTTACATAGTATGCTATATGTATCCAGGTTACATAGTATGCTATATGTATTCAGCTTACATAGTATGCTATATGTATCCAGGTTACATAGTATGCTATATGTATTCAGGTTACACAGTATGCTATATGTATTCAGGTTACACAGTATGCTATATGTATCCAGGTTACACAGTATGCAATATGTATTCAGGTTACACAGTATGCTATATGTATTCAGGTTACATAGTATGCTATATGTATCCAGGTTACACAGTATGCTATATGTATCCAGGTTACACAGTATGCTATATGTATTCAGGTTACACAGTATGCTATATGTATTCAGGTTACACAGTATGCTATATGTATCCAGGTTACATAGTATGCTATATGTATTCAGGTTACACAGTATGCTATATGTATCCAGGTTACACAGTATGCTATATGTATTCAGGTTACACAGTATGCTATATGTATTCAGGTTACACAGTATGCTATATGTATCCAGGTTACACAGTATGCTATATGTATCCAGGTTACACAGTATGCTATATGTATCCAGGTTACACAGTATGCTATATGTATTCAGGTTACACAGTATGCTATATGTATTCAGGTTACACAGTATGCTATATGTATCCAGGTTACACAGTATGCTATATGTATCCAGGTTACACAGTATGCTATATGTATCCAGGTTACACAGTATGCTATATGTATCCAGGTTACACAGTATGCTATATGTATCCAGGTTACACAGTATGCTATATGTATCCAGGTTACACAGTATGCTATATGTATTCAGGTTACACAATATTCTATATGTATCCAGGTTACACAGTATGCTATATGAGGCAGTATTTAGGTTACACAGTATGCTATGTGGCACTATAGAATGCACAGCAATATTCAGCCTATAGTATGCTATATGTATCCAGGTTACACAGTATGCTATATGTATTCAGGTTACACAATATTCTATATGTATCCAGGTAACACAGTATGCTATATGTATTCAGGTAACACAGTATGCTATATGTATTCAGGTTACACAATATTCTATATGTATCCAGGTTACACAGTATGCTATATGAGGCAGTATTTAGGTTACACAGTATGCTACGTGGCACTATAGAATGCACAGCAATATTCAGCCTATAGTATGCTATATGTCTCCAGGTTACACAGTATGCTATATGTATTCAGGTTACATAGTATTCTATATGTATTCAGGTTACACAATATTCTATATGTATCCAGGTTACACAGTATGCTATATGAGGCAGTATTTAGGTTACACAGTATGCTACGTGGCACTATAGAATGCACAGCAATATTCAGCCTATAGCATGCTATATGTCTCCAGGTTACACAGTATGCTACATGTCTCCAGATTACACAGTATGCTATATGTATTCAGGTTACATAGTATTCTATATGTATTCAGGTTACACAGTATGCTATATGTATCCAGGTTACACAGTATGCTATATGTATTCAGGTTACACAGTATGCTATATGTATTCAGGTTACACAGTATGCTATATGAGGCAGTATTTAGGTTACACAGTATGCTATGTGGCACTATAGAATGCACAGCAATATTCAGCCTATAGTACGCTATATGAGGCAGGTTACACAGTATGCTATATGTATTCAGGTTACATAGTATGCTATATGTCTCCAGGTTACACAGTATGCTATATGTATTCAGGTTACACAGTATGCTACGTGGCACCATAGAATGCACAGCAATATTCAGCCTATAGTACGCTATATGAGGCAGGTTATATAATAGCACTATTTAGCCTATAGTATGCCATACACAGCAGCACTTCTCATCGAATGATATACCTCTGCTTATGCATGTTCACATTGCAATACAAATACTAGTTTTAAGTGTGTGTCTAACAATAACGTGTGTTATTAATTGTGAATACTCTGTACATGTGTATGATGCTGTGTGGACAATCTATATACGTTCACAATGAAAATTTAAGTACAATACAGTGCTGTAGGAACACTGTATACGTGTTTAGGATGCAGTGTGAATACTATATGTCTGCTTATAATGCAGTGTGAGTATTGTCGCCATGTTTTAGATATAGACAAGTTGCCGAGGTAACAGCAACAGCATAATGTTGTTTTCTAAATCTAATTCTACTTCATAGATAGATTCAGGGATTTCAAGCAGAGATACAGGAACTGATGGTAGTGTAAATAAAATATTGAAAAATATCCAGTTCTTTGAATGTCTATCCATATATTATGGGGTAAAGATGGCCTGAGAAACAAGCAGAATGTGAAATGGTGTGCAAGCGGAGACTATAGGATGTTGCCTTCAAATCTCCTGAATATTGCACTTACGTTTAATTACTCCCTTTGGTGTCCGCCAGTTGCTTGTTGGAAAGATCATGACAGTATCTAATGGACACATTATGGCTGCCTGATGGACTTCACCCAATATATATTATCAGGAATCTAAGGAGGCACTTCCTCCACAAGAATCAAAATCTCATTCCACTGAGAGAGGAGGCTGCAATCTCCTGGGTAATGAAGGAAGCATTCATCATTTGTTTGAATGCCATAAAACTGGGAACGTTCATTTCCCCAGGGTCTAATGTTAGATTCGCTTCATGTTGCATAACCCCTTGGACATAAAAGGAATTATTTAATTGATTGGTGCTAGCTTTGGATCCACTTAATGTTTTGTGTCAGAACAGGAACGGTGTCACATAATGCATCTCTAACACCAGAGAGCCTTACTGGTCCCTTTCAACTTGACAGCCAGTTTGGGACCTTATTAACAGCCAAATCACAGAACCTGCTACCTATTCATTCTAATATTCTGTATTAATCATTTTTACCGCACACAAACATTTATTAACATTTATTAATTAGTTTTTAGGGCCTCTCATGTAAGTTGAGTAATTAAGAGAGTACATCTGTACAAATCGTATTTTGCCATTTGTTTTTTTTTAAATTAATACACTGCAAATAATATCACTAAACAAAATGTATATCACTGCAGATCTTAAAAGGCCTGTGTATGCCAGCTGATTCTAACTACTATCAGAGTTTCTACTAGTGGTACGCTGGGAGAGGAGTCTCACATTAATACATTTTGTAGGCACTCCGATGTGACTGAAATAGCCCATGTTTGCTCTTGATTTGCTCAAAGTGTATTTAATAAATGCAGGGTACACAGATCCATCTACGATCGCCAGCAATGCATGATGGGCTAAGCAGATAGCAAGTTGCATATAAATGCAGTAATATATCTTTATCATATATGGTATACATTCTGAACTCTGATTTGTAAATAATATAGAATTAGCAATATCCCTAGTCAATGTCCATAATATTAACACGTGAGTAGTCCTCTTTGTATATTTTCTTTCTTCTATTGTTGGCCTAATTATCGGTCTCTATCAGTAATCAATCTGGGCACGGTGGTTATATAGTGCTTGAAGTATATTTATTTTCTTTGGGGTTAATTGAATTCTCCATCATTGTTTTCTATTAGTGTTATTTACTAAAATTGTTGAGAATTGTTTAAAGCTCAAATGCAATTAATTTCAAATTTAAAGCCAAAATAGCCAAATGTGCTTTCAGTTTGGTTACTACTATTAATGAGCACCACTGAGAGCCAAATTTGAGGCGAAACGCGTCTCGATTTCCTAGCTTTAATGTATCCTTATTCTGGTCTCATTCCCTTCCACCTTTCTTTGATATCCCCCAGCCACCCCATATGTGCTCCTCTACCTCCCTATAATGCAAGTAATAAATACCCCTCTAGCCCCTGTCAGCAAACCTCACTACCCACTGTTAACCTCTTCCCCTCCAGCCCGTTATCCGCCCTACCTTCTCTGCTATCCGCCTATCCCTCTGGTAACCATTTACCTGCCTGTCTCTGTTATCTGCCCCATTCCTCTAGTAGCCTCTTCCCTCATAGTCCCAGTACAGCTAGCTGACTGGCATCATGTATCTCCGTCATTCTAATGGTTCACTTTGTACTTAGCAGTGCAATATCTGCATACATATATATATATATTACAAGTATAACAGGGTCTGGCGGGGAAGGGGTTGTGACGAAGTGCCCTTCACCACTTGTGCCTGGAGAGGACTAATTGCCAGCCTCCTGCCCTGTGACTATGGCCCCTGGAAGATTTTGCCCTTTAAATACGTTATTTGGCAATAGTGGATTTTATTAGACTGGTTCTGGCCTTTTAAATGCTCTGACAAAGGATCTGCAGTTTTGCTATGCACTTTGGATGCAGAGTGTGAAGAAAACCCCTGTTTTATGGACTTAGTTTGACTGTTTTATTCCCTCCCTTTTAGAACACCAGTTAAACCCTTAATAAGTGTCATATTTTCAAACACTGTCTGACCCTTTTAACTGTCATTTTGTTTTCCTCTGAGGAGGAGTTGTTTTGCTGCGTGAGTGCTGTTGCTTTTGTGTGCTCATTAAACAGACCTGCTTGACCCTTTCTTGAAGCCTTGGCTCATGCTTGGGGGATGGGATAAGTCTGCAGTGCTGATGGTGTCGGTTGGAGTGCTTGGAGTCCTCGGCAAGCACTAGGAGCATCGATTGGCGGAGGTACTCGGTCGGAGTGCCAGCGGGTCCGTCACAGGGGGTCCAGAGGGATGGGCGAATAACAGGGACTGGCAAGGAAGAGGTTACCAGAGGGATGGGCGGATAACAGGGACTGGCAAGGAAGGGGTTACCAGAGGGATGGGCGGATAACAGGGACTGGCAAGGAAGGGGTTACCAGAGGGATGGGCGGATAACAGGGACTGGCAAGGAAGGGGTTACCAGAGGGATGGGTGGATAACAGGGACTGGCAAGGAAGGGGTTACCAGAGGGATGGGTGGATAACAGGGACTGGCAAGGAAGGGGTTACCAGAGGGATGGGTGGATAACAGGGACTGGCAAGGAAGGGGTTACCAGAGGGATGGGTGGATAACAGGGACTGGCAAGGAAGGGGTTACCAGAGGGATATATATTTAGGCAGATATACATAGATAGATATAGAATATAGAGTTTATCTGTCTCTTTGTATTTATTTATAATAAACATATGACAGTATATGATACGTAATGTAGTGATGATATGTGTGTGCATGTATGAGATGTGGTATGCAAGTTCTAGTGTCTGAATGCAGTATATGTAGTGTAACGTAGATTAAGTACTTCTTGGGCAGCCATTGTGGGCAGTTGTTCAGTGATGCAAATTGCATCACTAAGCTCCAGCACGCCCACCAAGACATGTCATTACTGATTCTCAAAGAAAATCACTGAAGCATGGCCATTGATGGGCGTGTCATTACAGATTTTCATAGAAAATCACTGGAGTATGGCCATTGGTGGGCAGTCATTGTAGGCGTGTCATTTCTGATTCCCATAGAGAATCACTGGAGCATGGCCATTGGTGGACACATTGTCGGCGTGTCATTACTGATTCTCATAGAGAATCACTGGAGCATGGCCATTGGTGGGCAGTCATTGTAGGCGTGTCATTTCTGATTCCCATAGAGAATCACTGGAGCATGGCCATTGGTGGGCGTGTCATTACTGATTCTCATAGAGAATCACTGGAGTATGGCCATGGGTGGACAGACATTGTGGGCGTGTCATTTCTGATTCTCATAGAGAATCACTGGAGTATGGCTATTGGTGGACAGACATTGTGGGCGTGTCATTACTGATTCTCATAGAAAAATCACTGGAGTATGGCCATTGGTGGGCAGTCATTGTGGGCGTGCCATTACTGATTCTCATAGAGAATCACTGGAGCATGTCCATTGGTGGACAGTCTGGCTGAAATACAGGAAGCAGGAAGAAAGCAAAGACGGGGGAAATTACATCAATCAGAGAAGAAAAGGCAGTGTTTGAATTATTGCTTAGGAACACCTAGTGGCAGTCACTCAGATGGGCAATATAGGTGCTTCTTGGATCAGTGTTGCACAACGCTCTGCATGGCGGCACTGAACTTTCCCCATAGAGATTGGCTGAGATCATCATGACACGGGCGGCACTGGAGAAAGGTAAGTAAATCACCTTTTTTAACCAGAGGTGGCGGGGAGGGGAGACCTATAGTGTCAGGAATACACATTTGTATTCCTGACACTAGTGTTCCTTTAAGTGCAATTAGTTTTAATTCCAAGTCTTATCATAGTCATTTACTATATTTTATCTAAAAGGACTCTATAGGCAACCAAACCACTTTAGGTCATTGGCCCCTGCAGCCACTAGAGGCACTTCCTGCTTCATAGGTGACTTTTGGTTACCTGCCGCTGGACGTCCTCACTGTGTATGCGCATTAGCACCAACCGGGGAGGGCCAAATGGAAGTATAGTGCTATAGAGTGACAGTTGTTTTATTAACTATAGGAAGCGCAGTTACTCTTGTTATATTATCTATGGTTACCTAACAATAACTTAATAAAATGCACATCAGAAATGAAAATAAATTTTGAAAATTTACCATAAAGAAATGAAATACAAAACAATAAAAATAATGGCAGATCCACTTTAATTGCACATGTGGTATAATACCAAATCTGCAGCGTCAATAAAAAAAGACCTACTACAAAAGAGTACGAGCCAACATACTGTCATTGAATAAAATAAACTTTTTTTCAAAGACACAATAACATAATACCATCATATAAAGTAATGACATTTTTTCAGGCTTAAATTCTTGAAACCTCTTAGAATGACTTGTACTGTGGTCAAAGGTTTAATGAGACCTTACCTTTTCTGTAGATTGTTACAGCTTGGCTTTGCCTGAATTTGTCCTGTAGCCTGAAAAAACAGCAAGAGGAAGCAATCATTACATTCATTAGACTCAAGGAAAACACATTTTTAACCTTTAGGTTAGTAATGCGAAAAGAGACATTTTTATCCATAAGCATTTGATCAGTGAATTTTTTCGTGATCAGCATAAAAAAAATAAAGCCCCAAAGTCATTCTTATATTTAGCGTGTTCCATATGATTACATTTAGTGTGTTCTATAGTATTGAGAGCATTTTCAGCTGTCCTGAATTCATGTATCTGTGTTTACAGGCCTACATGAAACAAAAAGCTTTAGAGAGACTATGGCATTCATTTAAAATATAGTAAATATTGTATATAATAATAATATTCTGTTAATAAATGGTTATCTTGATCCTAGACCAATTATTGACACGCATAAATAACAAACTTTGAAATTGAATGTTGAAATGAAAGGAACACCCCAAGCTCGCTGTAGTGGTGATAGTGCCAGGAGTCAGTGGCGTACATACCAGGGTCACGGCTGCAACCGGGCCCAGCCCACCAGGGGGCCCGGCCGCCCTGCGACCCAGTTTGTACCCACTGTGGCCACCGGGCGAGCTGGCAGGCTGGCGGGCGCGCGAGGGAGCAATCTCCCCGCGCGAGGGAGCTGAACAGGAAGCACTCAGGGAGAGCACTCCCTCGCGCGCCCGCCAGCCAGCCTGCCGGGTGACACCACTGGACGCCAGGGAATCCCCTCAGCACTCCCAAAGGTAGGGAGGCTGGGGGGATTAAAAATTTTTTAAAAAATGTGTGTGTGTGTTACTGTTAATGTGTTACTGTGTTTAAAAAAAACGTGTGTGTGTGTTAGTGTTAGAGTGTGTGTGTGTGTTAGTGTTAGAGTGAGTGTTAGAGTGTGTGTGTTAGTGTTAGAGTGTGAGTGTTAGAGTGTGTGTGTTAGTGTGTTACTGTGTTAAAAAAGCGCGTGTGTGTGAGTTAGTGTTAGAGTGTGTGTGTGTTAGAGTGTGTGTGTTAGTGTTAGAGTGTGTGTTTTGTAAGTGTGTATGTGTCTGTCTGTCAGTGAGTGTGTATGTATGTCTGTCACTGAGTGTGTGTCTGTCAGTAAATGTGTGTGTCTGTTAGCTAGTGTGTATGCAGCTGTTCGTGAGAGTGTGTGTGTCTTTGGCACTTACCTTTCTCCAGCGCTGGACTCCCTTGGCGCTGGGGATCTCTCCGTCCCGATCCGCCTTTCAGCTCCTAATGCGCATGCGCAGCAAGAGCCGCGCGCGGATTCAAACCGCTGTGATTTTCACAGTGAGAATCGCGGAAGCTCCTCTAGCGGCTGTTAATGAGACAGCCACTAGAGGCTGGATTAACCCTCAGTGAAACATAGCAGTTTCTCTGAAACTGCTATGTTTTCAGCTGCAGGGTTAAAACTAGAGGGACCTGGCACCCAGACCACTTCATTGAGCTGATGTGATCAGGGTGTCTGTAGTGGTCCTTTAAGTGTATGTGTATCTGCATGCACTGGCGTACATACCGCGGTTGCAGGGGTCCCAGCCCTGCGACCAGGTGCCCGCCGCCATGGGTTGCGGCCCCGGCCCGCGCAGAGTAAGCTGGGGGGGCCACGGATCAGTTTTCGCACTGGGGCCCCATGGGTTGTGTGTACGCCACTGCCAGGAAGCAGTCAAACCATTTTAGAGCAGTCTGACTTTTTACCTGGGATTCCCTGAACGTCGCTCCTCGCCTCCACTACTGACGATGGCTGGCACTTTGTCATCAGTAGTGGAGGGGCAGTAGTCGAAGCACACGAAGCACCTCTAGTGGCCACCTGAGTGACTGCCACTAGAGGTGTCACTAGGAAGCAATGTAAACACTGCCTTTACTCTGAAAAGGCAGTTCTTACATTATATGTGTTTATTAATTGCATTAATGTTATTTTCACAAGTGGTGTGAGGTCTTATTTCATAAAGACTGATTATATATATATATTACACGTACTTAGGCCTGTGATCTATCCTTTATAAAGTATTTGGAGCACTAACATTTAGTTTGCACAGCACAGAAAGCACTCACGTTGGTGTTTACACGTTCTATTAGAAACTATAAACATGCCACTTCACCATGGCAACGGCGACGGCATACACGTGATGACGTCACTATTATGTATACACACACTATTAAACATGTATATGTTTATTATCCTGATGAAAGTCCTTGGGGAGGACTGAAACGTTGATCCTGTTTTTAACAATATGGAATAAAAGTACATTTTTATTTAAAGACCGAGAGTCAGCCATCTACTTTTGATATATAGTATAAATTGGAAAAAAAAAACACACAAAAAAACATAAAAATGTTAACTTTAGCCAGCGTTTGTGACTAAGTGGCTACTACAAAAGACTGGAAATACTCCATTTGGAATACCCTGGGTTGTCTACATTTGAAAATGGTATGCCATGATGGGGGTTATTTCACATTCCTGGGCCACCATATGGTCTCAAAAGGCCACACAGACCCAGCAAACCAATCAGGCAAACTGAACTGGGCAAGCCCTATATTGACCCTGTACCTTTTCAAACCACCATAAAACCTGTACATTGGGGGGGGGTATTGTTATATTCGGGAGACTTTGCTGAACACAAATATGAGTGTTTAAAACAGTAAAACTTATCATGACGATGAAATCACCAGTAAAGGTGTATTTTTTGTGTAAAAAAATTGCTAAAAACAAATATGAACGCTAACTTTGGCAAGAGTTTGTGGCTAAGTGGCTACTACAAAAGACTGGATATATACCCCATTTTGAATACCGTGGGTTGTCTACTTTTACAAATGGTATGCCATGATGGGGTTAATTTTCATTCCTGGGCTGCTATACAGTCTCAAAGGCCCAGCAAACTAATCTGGCAAATTTCTATGTGCAAACATGGAAAAAGGGAAAGCTCTACATTTGACCCCTGTAAGTTTGCAAAAACCCATGAAACCTGTACATTGGGGGCACTGTTGTACTCGGTGAGATGTTGCTGAACACATATTGGGGTGTTCTTTGTCAGTAACACATTACAGGAACTGAGAATCCATGCCTAAAGTACAATGTAAGAGAAAAATAACACAACAAAATGACTACCCAGAAGTTTGACAAAGACTGGTGGTAGAATTAGCGCATGGAAAGTGTTAAAATACCACTATCTGAAATACCCTAGGGTGTCTACTTTTCAAAAATATATGATTTGATGGGGGTAAATTACATTGGCCGGCTTCAAAAATGTCCCAAATAGGACATGGGTGCATGATCACCAGCTGTGAAAATTCCAAGTTGAAAAACTGGAATGCGCACCCAACAAACCTATACATGGGGGGTATCACTGTACTCAGGAGATGTTGCTGAACACATATCAGGGTGTTCTTTGGCAGTAAACCTTAAAGTTCTCTGTACATGTATTCTTAAATTGCTATGTGTGTCAAACAAATCACAAATGATTATTTATTTATTTATTTATTTTTATTTTGGCATAGATTGGTGGTAAAATGGTTGCATGAAAAAAAAAAAAGAGTTAAAAACCCCCATTTTTAATACCTTAGGTTGTCTACGTTTAAAAAATATTTACATGTGAAGGGTTATTCAGGGATTCCTGACAGATTTCAGTGTTACAATGTTACTTTAATTTTGTGTTAATTTTGAATAAAAATGGTTTGGAAATAGCAAAATGCTACTTGTTAACATTGGGCATTTCTAAACTCAGGACAAAATTTAGAAACTATTTAGCACGGGTGTTTTTTGGCAGTTGTAGATGCGTAACAGATTTTGGGGGTCAAAGTTAGAAAAAGTGTGTTTTTTTACATTTTTTCGTCATATTTTATAATTTTTTTTAATAGTAAATTATATGATATGATGAAAATATTGGTATCTTTAGAAAGACCATTTAATGGCGAGACAAACTGTATATAATATGTGTGGGTACAGTAAATGAGTGAGTAAGAGGAAAATTACAGCTAAACACAAACACTGCAGAAATTTAAAAAGAGCCCTGGTCCTTAACAGTAAGAAAATTGGAAAAGCGGTCTGGTCACTAAGGGGTTAAGGGACATGTAGTCCAGCTGTCAAAAGTATCACCAGTCATCTTCTTTTAGATTTCTGAGTAGTTTCATTTATGTTTTTTTTTCTCCCCTATAAAATAAACTACTCATGGCTGCACATGCATTTGTATTGCATAATGGTAAGAGACAGCCTGCAAAATATCAGCTATACATGTGTGAAGTGTTTTGAAAGGATCAGGATGAGTATAGTTTTCACCTGTGATGTCATGGATTGGAGGGTGGCAAATCGCACAACACTAATGAACAGAATGGCAGGACTCCATGTACCATAACACAGCCTTCCAGTGCTACATAGTATAAAGAAATGCACCATTAAAAAAAAAATAGACCAAACTAGTTGAATATGATAAATAGGAGCATTTTGTGTTTTACAGCCTGATTGTTTTTTAAAAATCATTTAGCAATTTGATTGTGAGTTTATCGCAATTCACAATTTAATAGTGTCAGGCTCAGACTTGGCATAACCTGCTGGCTCCTGGTTTATGCCATGGCCATTCCTCACCCTGAGGTATCAGGGGGCATGGTCTATGTTTGTGGGCATACATAAAGCGGTGTAAGAAAATCTGGAACTCTTATAGGATAACAGTGCGGCTAACAGATTAAACACATATACTTGTAGTCATAATATAAATGCCTTATCAAGGGATAGTGAGCTTCCAGCTTGTCTGATTTGTCCCATGAATCTGTCCGTCACAGTTTAAATTATCTTTTTATACACTGACCAAAAAAGTAAGAATGTACCTTTGAAGTACCTGTCAAAGAAAACTCACCCATCTGACAGGAGCAGAAAAATAAAATGTTGGGGAAAAGTGCACTTTTTATAAGCTGGGATTGCTACATTCTGAGCAAAAAAACATGCAAACCAAAAAATACAAGAGGAGCTGTAAATAATATATTTTGGTAAAAAAAAAAGTAGAAAATAGAATAAAACAATTACCCCTGTGTCTCTGACATCATAATAGTGGTTGTATCTGCCCTTGTTCATCATGTCCCTTATGATATGCCAGGTTGTTACATTGCTCCTAGCTCCATAGCAGACAAGGTCCTTTCCCTGCATCCTGATTTAGCTATAGCTCGTGCTCAACTGTGCCAGGGGCCCTATGTTTTCAGCCAGCCTACAGCTCCCTTGTGCTTCTGTTCTGGAGTGTTTGTTGTCCATGGACTGAATTAACACCCAAGTTAACAGATTTTTACGTTTTAATACAGACGAACAGATTGAAGTTATATTTTATGTAACACAGAGTTTATTCTTGATAAGAGCCTTTCAGATTGAATTGACATCAGTGGAAATAAACAATGAATTGTGTCATGAAATTAAGATTCACTCATTGGGGGTCAGGTATAAAGAATAAAACTATCTAAATATTGTATTGCCAGACCAGTATGGAAAGTATCGTTACAACCATACTCGGTGTGTGACATTACTAGCGAAGCAGGAGTGTTAAATAGAATCCGGTCTCTTCTTTACACAATTAAGCGAGTTCTCTATCCCTCTAAAACTACTTCCAGGTAATTTCTTTGAAGGATAATAATTTGTTGAGAGGTATGAGTGCTGTAGAAATATATTCAATTTTAACAGTTACAACTCCATGCTTGTTTTTAGTACCCCAAAAGTAGATTCCCATTCTCTCCAGTGGGACTATTTAACTCTTACCACACAGAGCTGATATTTTGTTAAAACTTGAAGGGACACTTTAAGCATCAAAACAACTTCAGCTGAATCAAGTGGTTTTTATACCCTGCAGTATAACTGTTCAATTATCTGCCATTTAGAAGTTAATGCGCTTTCTTTTTAAAGCTCTAGTGTCTACAGTTTCCGCTTCCTGTAAAGAGAGGTCTATTTAATGCACAGTGTGTTCAATTTAGGATTCCTTATCTTTTGCTCTTCTAAATGCCTGCTAGACCCTGCAGGAGCTGCCTGTGTGTGATAAAGTTCAACTTACAGAGCAAGAAAAAAGATGTTTAAAGTAAATACACTGTGTAAGATCTGATTAAAATTAAACCAATCTTTCATTAAGGCGGTCTGAGTCACAGCTAGGGAGTTGTGACTAGGGCTGCATAACAAAAACAAAAGTGATTTGGCAGAGAATTGAGCAGTGAGATTGTAGGGGCGTGATCTATACACCAAAAGGGATTCATTAAAGGGATACTATAGGCACCAAAACAACTTAACATAGAAACATAGAATGTGACGGCAGATAAGAACCATTCGGCCCATCTAGCCTGCCCAATTTTCTAAATACTTTCATTAGTCCCTGGACTTATCTTATAGCTAGGATAACCTTATGCCTATCCCACTCATGCTTAAACTCCTTCACTGTGTTAACCTCTACCACTTCAGCTGGAAGGTTATTCCATGCATCCACTACCCTCTCAGTAAAGTAATACTTCCTGATATTATTTTTAAACCTTTGTCCCTCTAATTTGTTGTGGTAGTTTTTCTTCTTTTAAATATAGTCTCCTCCTTTACTGTGTTGATTCCCTTTATGTATTTAAATGTTTCTATCATATCCTCCCTGTCTCGTCTTTCCTCCAAGCCAGGGCCTCCCAAACATTTATGGGCCAAGACCCACTTTTCAAAATGGTAATTTTTCGAGACCCACTTGCTTTTAATGCATATTTTAAAAAGTGAACACCATGGCATTCGGCTTTAGAGGCATACAATTGGCACACCATAGCAATCCACTTTAGATGCACACAATTGGCACACCATGACAATTACTTTTAGAGGCATAAAATTGGCACACCATGGCAAACCGCTTTAGATGCATACAATTGGCACACTATAGCAATCCGCTTTAGATGCATACAATTGGCATACCATGGCAGTTTTAGAGGCATAAAATTGGCACACCATGGCTATCAGTTTTAGAGGCATACAGTTGGCACACCAAGGCAATCTGCCTTAGATGCATACAACTGGCACACCATGGCAATCCGCTTTAGATGCATACAATTGGCACACCGTGGCAATCAGTTTTAGAGGCATACAGTTGGCACACCAAGGCAATCCGCTTTAGATGCATTCAACTGGCACACCATGGCAATCCGCTTTAGATGCATACAATTGGCATACCATGGCAATCAGCTTTAGATGCATACAATTGGCATACCATGGCAATCAGCTTTACAGGCATACAATTGGAACATTATGGCAGCTTTAGATGCATACATTGGCACACCGTGGCAATCAGTTTTAGAGGCATACAGTTGGCACCCCATGCAATCCGCTTTAGATGCATAAAATTGGCACACCATGGCAATCAGCTTTAGTTGCATAAAACTGGTACATCATGGCAATCAGTTTTAGATGTATAAACTTGGCACATCATGGCAATCAGTTTTAGAGGCTTACAATTGGCACACCATGGCAACCAGCTTCAGAGGCATAAAATTGGCACACCATGGCAATTGATTTTAGAGGCATACAATTGGAACATCACAGCAGCTTTAGATGCATAAACTTGGCATATGATGGCAATCACTTTTAGATGCATAAACTTGGCACATCATGGCAATCAGCTTCAGAGGCTTAAACTTGGCACACAATGGTAATCAGCTTTAGATGCATAAAATTGGCATGTTTTAATGCAGGGGTGTGTTTGTATGTAATGTTTGCGTTTGATTGCAGTGCGTGTGTAGTGGATGCATTGAGTGTGTGTGTGTAGTGGATGCAGTGTGTGTATATTGTGTATATAAAATATACATATACACAATGTGTGTTCGAATGACAGCATGTTTTTTGTATGGAGTATGTGTGCAGTACACACACAGACACACAAATACACACATTGACACAGCGATACACACAGAGACACACACACACACAATGATACCTAGTTTCCCATACACAGACACTCATGTACACAGATACACGCTGATACACAGACACACAAGGACACACAGATACAGAAGGTGAGGGTGACAGTGTGTGGGAAAGGTGAGGGTGACAGTGTGGGAGGGAGTGTGTGTGCTGGTAACAGTGTAGGGGGCAATGGAGCAGGGGCCGTCGGGATTTAAAATAAATAAATACATTTTGTGGTGGGGCAGGCGGAGATTCCTGTGCGGCAGGGGCTAAAAGTGTTGGATAAGTGCTGCAGGGGAAGCAGGAAGGAGTCCCTGCTTCCCCAACAACCAGTTTCTAGGAGCTGCACTGTCTCCACAATGAACAGAGGTAACTATGTGTGATTGTCAGTGTCAGTGTGACTGCCTGTGTGTGTGACTGTCTGCCTGCGTCTGTGTATGACTGTCTGCCTGTGACTGTCTGCCTGTGTGTGTGTGCGTCTGTGACTGTCTGCCTGTGTGTATGACTGTCTGCCTGTGTGTGTGTCTGTGACTGTCTGCCTGTGTGTATGTATGTCTGTCTGCCTGTGTGTGTGTGTGTATGACTGTCTGCCTGTGTTTGTTTGTGACTGTGTGTGTGTGTGTCTGTGTGTATGACTGTCTGCCTGTTTTTGTGTGTGTGTGTATGACTGTCTGCCTGTGTGTGTGCGCATGACTGTCTGCCTGTGTGGATGTCTTCCTGTGTGTGTGTGGCTGTCTGCCTGTGTGCGTATGTATGTAGCTGCCTCTGTGTGTGGCTGTCTGCCTGTGTGTGTGGCTGTGTGTGTGTGACTGTCTGCATGTAAGTATGTGTGTGTAAGACAGTATGTCTGGCTGTGTGTGTGTGTGTGTGTGTGTGTAAAACTGTATGTGTGGCTGTGTGTGTGTGTCTGTCTGTCTGTAATTGTGTGTGAGTGTGTTTATCTACCTATAACTGTATGTGTGTTACTGCCTTTACCTGTGTGTTTCTGCCTGATCCTGTGTATGTGACTATCTGCCTGCGATTATGTGCATGTGGTGGATTTGACAGTGTATATGGATAACTGTGTGCATCTGACTGTGGGAATGTGTTCACATAACTCTGCAGGTGTATATTTTTGCATTCATACACAGGCCTAAATGCATGTTTTTATCTGAATTAAATAACCATCACACACAGCCAATAAACCCAGCACAAATATCACATACAACCAATACACGCGTATCACACACTGTTAATACACCCATTACAAATATCACACACAGCCATCACATAGCAATCATATCACACACAATCATCACATCTATCACATACACAGACAACACAAACATTACATAATACATAGATGTACAGAGTGGTAGAGGAATTGAGCTGATTATCTACAGAAGAAAAACACAATACATAGTGTGATATTGTAAACGATAATAAATAATGCGCAATTGGAAAGGAACTCACGAGATTTAGATGTTTAAAACGCCCTATGGTGCATCCCTGTGTATTCTATTTTATACGGGATAGTCTAGAATATCCTGAGAGGAAGCTGACACATTATAACGATAAATTACTTTTATTCTTTTGTATATAGTGACAAATAGTAGTGTCTATTGTTTAGCATAATACATGGATGACAGATGAGGGAGGCGCTGTGAAGATTTTTCACACAGGGTGCCTAAAGACCTAAGGCTGGCCCTGAGTGTTTTGTACAATGGCATGAGCACTTCCCTCTTTCTACTGCTAATACCTCTCCCAATACAACCAAGCATTCTGCTAGCATTTCCTGCTGCTCTATTACATTGTCTGCCTATTTTTAAGTCATCTGAAATAATCACCCCTAAATCCCTTTCCTCAGATGTTGAGGTTAGTAGTGTATCAAATATTCTATACTCTGCCCTTGGGTTTTTTTTTTGTTTTTTTCTTTATAAATTCTTTATTTTGGCAATGAAAGAATAATCTATCTGCATTGCAACGGCTTATGCAAAAACCAAACATATTTCATACAACAGTTATTCAGTGATACAGAAAAGGAGTGAGATATGCAGATACAATGGTATATAACTTATTTGTAATGTTTCATGGATTTTTTTTTTGGTGCATTATTTTATTTATTTATGTTGTTTTTAGCGAGGATTGTAGCATAAGAGGGTATCATTCATATTAGGTAATGTGGCTATGGGCATGAGTTAAACTGTGCTCTGTTAAAGGTACTATGTGGTCAGGTAGACTTGTATTGGTATAATGTGTATAAGGTTTAGGGAGTCCCAATATTGGTGGCTATGGGCATGTTGGTCACGTCTATAGACGTGCCACAGTCGTATATGAGTAAGGGTTTGATTTTGGCTCTCGTTTTAGAAAGGTTGGTCTTTTGTTGTTTCTGGGATGTGTGTTTCGGTACGAGTTGGTTGAAGTATTCGGTAAGTAGTTTCCTCCCATTGAGAGTGGGAGGGAGGTAAGTAGAGGTGACAGGTAGGAAGCGGGAGGGTAAAGCAGAAGAGGTATAGGAAGAGTTATCAGGTAAGAAAGGAGTTACGAGCAGAGCCCGCAGTGAGCATGGTAGCAGAGGGGCAGGGTTCTCATGGCACTCCCCGTGCGCTTAGGTAGTGTCTGAGTAATGCGGCAGGATTTAAGTCCCTCCCCGCGTCTCTGAATATGCGTCTCTGGCTCACAGACTCGGGTTGCCCTTGGGTTTTTACTTTAGCTTAATGAAGCAGTTTTGGTGTATAGATTATACCCCTACAGTCTCACTGCTCAATGCCATTTGGGGCTTAAATCAGTGTTTGTGCAGCTCTAGTCACTCCTCCCTGCATGTTACTTGCACATCCGTTATAAATACTTCCTGTGAAGAGAGACCTAATGTTTAAATTTCCTTTATTGCACATTCTGTTTAATTTAGAATTTCTTATCTCCTGCTTTTGTGCTTAAAGTATGACATTAAAACATACATTGCTATTTGTTATTGTCATTGTTAACGTGAGAATTCAAGGTGAATTTCAAATTTAAGGTAAAAAAATAGCTAAACTGAAAAATTTCTCTTAAGTCAGTTACACTTTCAGTTCTATTACAATTCCGCCCTGAATTCTGAAATTCACTTTGAATTCTTACTTTAGTAAATAATCCTGAAAGGGTATTTAAGTGGAAAGAATACTCATTCTGCCAATATTGAGAGAATTAGACTGCAGTGCCCTGTGAAGATTTCCCATTCTATTGCTATTAGAGGTAATGGAGTTGAGTACCCTGGAATGACCATCTAGTTTGTTGATATAATGGCCACCAACTCTGTTTAATATTTGGCCACAATGACTACGCATTTAATGTATATTAGGTGCTTTGACTTAAATAACCAACCATTAAGTCTAAATTATTAGATATTTGGCTGGGAAAAAAAAAACTCATACAAGTAGTTATTGACTAAAAACAGGTTGAGAAACCCTGTGAGCATATGAACCGCACAGTGATCTGAAATATACTCATTATAAGAAAGAGCTTGCTGCACAGTTAACACATGGTTGTGGGGCTCAGCAGGTAAATGTGATAATTAGTGCCAAGACATCTTACAATTCATTAACAGTGTGTCTGGAAAAACCATTGCAATCTGCTTTTAAACTTTAATAGTCTGATGCAACATTTTTATTATTGCTATTTTCATCTAATAATAAATAAAAATAATAAAAATTTGGTGTTTTCTTTAATGTGGTGTGCATGTGGTTTTACAGACTAATGTGTACAGAGAATCTAAGTGCTGATGTGGATAAATGTTCTGTGTTTATCTGACTCCGGGATAATTGCTATAGATGAATTATTGATAAGTTTGCAAGCCGTCAATGTTTCCTGCAACTGAAATGAAATCTGCATTACCCCAGGATCACATCTACTGGTATGGTGAAAATTGGGCATTAAAAGCAAATGAGTGTACGTCTTCAATAAAACTGTATTAATTCTAAGTCCCCACCATGTGGTTTAGTAATTACCAGATTATCATGGCTGTGTCTTTAAATAATGCAAATGCAGACAATTTAACATTATGAAATTAAAACTTCACATTTTTCATGAAATAATAAACACAATTCAGACAGAGGAGGGTGGCAGAGATATAGAAGAGTTAAGGCCTGATGACAGCTGGGAAATATAAGTTCAACATCTGTACACTAAGCAATATTACCACTTGCTGGAGTGGGGATTTGCCGTCATATTAATGTGCTGTTGTAGAGCAGAGCATACCAAAATGGGGGAGGCAAGAAATGGCCCGTTAAATAAATAGGTTAATGGATTCAGATAAAAGATTCAGTTAAAGATTCTAATATCTATTCAATTGGCTAAAGCCAGGAACGTAATCCAAAAACCGACCGCTAAACCTTTCCTATTCTAAGCTGCAAAAGACCATAGGCCTCCCAAACCCAAAGATAAGAGCATCAAGGCAGCACTAAAACATGGGTGTATGTCTCCTCCCCAGCTTATTACACCATATGAAAGTTAGCATCAAAATGGTAAAATGTGAATGTGCTAATCTGATTGGAATGTGAGAAGTGCTTAATTATGAATGTTAATGTTCTAGTATATATATATATATATATATATATATATATATTTATTTATTTAAAGGCTAATGATGGGTTGCACTCAGACGTCTTCTAAAAACAGTGTTTAATAAATCATCTAAAAAGTTATTAATTGTATGATTAACGTTTTAGTCCATTCAGGCCTTTCTCAAATATCATGAGAAAGATTTCACAGAAAAATAATATTCATATATGTAGTGGATTGTATTGGTTTTGACTGCATTCGTGTAAATGGCAAAGTTATATGTGTTAAATGTATTGTGTTCGTCTGATTGTTCAGTAGTTTCATTCCCTTAGCTTGTTCGAATGAAACTACCGAACAGTCAGACCTCCCCTGTGTGAAGTGTGCCTTCAATTACCCGTTGCAACATTGTTGCGAACGGGTAATTGACAAGTTAAGTAGCAGTCCTTTGTTCTCGGGGGTGGCTGCCATTCGGGAAACGAACACGTGGCGGCGGCCATTTTAAAACTCCCGAACAGCGGTGTTTTGCCATCGAGTGTCTGGAACTCAAATCGGACACTCGACTAGGCGAACACCGCTGAGACCTCCACAAGCCCGGTCTGTTTGGTTCCAAACTACCGAACGGCCCCTCGTTTGGTTCCAAACTACCGAACGGCCCCTCGTTCGATAGATAGAAACAACTGAACGAGGGGATTCAGGCAAACCCTCCCCAGTCTCTGTAACTAGAGGCTTTTGTATGATTTATTCCCTTGTTCCAGGACCGACCGCAGGGCCCCATCGCATGGAGCCCCATTCGGCTATTCCTTCCAGCGCGGTCGGTCATTTTATTCCCTCCATGAATTTCCAGAACCCCTGGTCTGATCTGGGTGATTTTTGGATATGTTGTTCACCCAGATCAGGGCTACCAGGGGATGTATAATTTAAAGTGGTACCCCTAGGTTTAGGGGTACTTCCAGAAACGGGGGGAATTGGTGTCCTGGATAAGGGGATTATGATGCAGGCTGAGGGGAGGAGATGTGTGGGAGGTTACTGGAACAGGATTGGATACTGTAGTAATTAATGGAAATCCCTCCCTTGCATAGGAGCATGCTTTATAAGGCCACTGAAATAAAGGTTTTTAGTTCTGCTCCTGATGCTGTGTGTCGTGAAGTTATTGGGATTGCTGTTGGGATACTGTTGGATTATTTTACCTGTTGGAAACCTTGCTTTGTGGATTTATAATTACTTGTTCCTGAGCCTCACTGGGATCTTAAGCAGAGATAATCTGTGGAATATTGTATCTCCGCTACAATATATTTCTGACATTTAATAAGGCTTTAGCCATTCATTGACAAAGAGGTAAGAAGGTGGGTGAATATACAATAGAAACTGATTATAACCCAAGTGCAGGCAAGCCTCTGTAAATTGGATACTCCAAATCCAATAAAAAACAACAGATTATACAAACTAACAGGGCGCCACAGTCACTAAATAGGTATATGTATAGGAAAGAACCATATACTTAAATATATCCCAATCACTGGATAAAAAATAGTAATTTATTGATACAGAATATATAAAATAACAGCACATAAAAGTGCTCAAACATAAAATGCTCAGGAACCCATAGGTATAGCAGCTCACTAATATAAAGTGCTGGATGGGGCAATAAAGTGCAAATGCTAAAGTGCACAGTATAATGAAAAAGTGCAAAACACTTAAATACAAGATGGCAGTGCTAAAACAGCATCCAATTAGTGACACATAAGCATAAACACAGCCCAAACGGTCCAAGATGAAAAATAGACAGTCAACACAAATCACCACGAATAAGCAGTACAGCCGCTGATACCACAGTCCAGGGTCCCAAAAGATATCGAGTTTGAGCACTTTTATGTGCTGTTATTTTATATATTCTGTATCAATAAATTACTATTTTTTATCCAGTGATTGGGATATATTTAAGTATATGGTTCTTTTCTATACATATACCTATTTAGTGACTGTGGCGCCCTGTTAGTTTGTATATATCTGTTAGCCATTCATTGGCCTGTGCCATTTATGTACCATACTTCCAGGTAAGGATAGTAGTTTGGTTTGGGAAGCTTTGCATCAGGGATGGCCAAAGAGCACATCCGTTGTAGAACTACATTTCCCATAATGCATTGCCAAACTTAAGCCGTAGAAACCATCTATCATTTGGCCATCCTTACTTCAGAACATGGTAGCATATAGCCATATAGCTGTTGTACAAATATAACTAACGTGATGTTTTGCCAGACAATCTACTGTTCCCTATATGCCTATATGCCTAGTCACACATCAATAAGATGTCTGTAGAATTAACGGTCATCCATAACTAAAACAATTTCTAAATTAGCGTCCCTGTCCCATTAACCATGCAAGGCAAAACATTGCAGTTTTTGAGAAAGTGCAATGTTTGCATTGCGGAGTTAAGTCCTCCTTTAGTGGCTGTCAGTATGAGGTGCTTTCGAGGCACTGATCAAGTAAAACTAGGTCACATGACACAGAAACCTCACAGGAAAGCATTGACTTAATGCTTTCGTATGGGATGGTTTGAATGTGCGTGCAGCATAGGCTGCACATGCTCATTAGTTCCCTGGTGCTCCTATATGAGGAGCACTGGATTGAATACCGCAAAGGAAGCCATGCCTACTCTGTGATGGCACCGGGGTAGGAGAGCTTAGCAGGAGAGCATCGGGCTGGTACAAGGTAAGCAAAACTTTATTTTTCGCACCATTGGGGGGGACGAGGGACTGCCTACAAGTCGGGACAGGAACATTACAGCGTTAGGAATACAGATTTGGAATATGAATAGTGTTCCTTTAAACTTTCTGTACTGATCCCAAACAACTGCAGGTTTTTGTTTAAAATTATGATAATTTGCATGAAAAAGAACAGTGGCTCTTGCAGATAACTGTTAAATAACAGAGGGCTTTCAAATCATACAAGAACTTCAGAAATGCTCCAAGTCCTGAGTGCTAATAATTAATATATACTCATATCCCCTCTGATAATAAAACACAATTCCTGAAAATCACTATTTTGTTTCCACAGTACATTTGTTTGACTCTGTCAGGTACCACACAAGCTAAAGAAAAATTGCCAGCCTGTGCTCTTAAACATGATGAGCTGAACATGAGTGTCTCCTGAGAAATATATTTCAAACTGTCTTCAAAGAAGGAACGGTGTCCCTGAAAATCAATCATGCACAAAATCCGTTATCTTCACATCAAGTACACTCGTCAGTGGCATGCAGGAATTTGATTAAATTGAAGACTAGAATTCATTACAGCCACTTTAACATAAACTATTTTTACTAAGCCAGTATTTAGATTCTTCAGCAATGGGCCATATTATAAACAATTCACCGTTCCACCCATCCGACACTGAAAGGGTAATCATATGTGCTTGAGCATTATCTTACCCAAACCTGGTTTTGGGACAGGTATGCACGCCCACAATAATTTGTATTGATGGTACAAATAAATAACTTTGTGCAAATTCATAAATCAAGTGATGAACCACCATAATCCTGGAGACTCTGTTTTACATAATGTAGCTAGTGCATTCACTGACCACAGGTCTAAGTTAAAATATGTGTTTTTTATGTCGATGGTCACTCCAAACGTTTCTCCAGGTGGCAGGAATCTTTCTCTCAGCCTGGAGTGTACTTATAGAATTAAGCAGTATTTCATTTCAGTATCCTAACCGCAACAATCAAGTAGTTAAGTAAGAAAAATACAGAGTGCTCATTTACATGCTTGCCATTAAAAAGCAGCATTACAAACGTGAATTCCTAACGCTAAAGTTTGACTCTACATATGTTGCGTTCCACGACCCATTTGAGGGTTAAAAGGTAACTATTGTTTACCTTTACTCCCTTGTCGCAGTCACTTTGCCTCCGTGGTCGAGCTTATCAAAACCGATGATTTCAGCAAATCCAATGCTTCCCCATGAGGAAGCGTCGGGACGCTAGTGCGCATGTTCTACGCCAATCAAATGCTGCTCTAGGAGCACATTTAATGGAGTATCGAGTCGGACTGTGAGGTATTTAAAACTGCAATGGAAACATTGCCATTTCTACTAAACTGCAATGGTTTACACTGCAGCGTTAAAACCAAAGGGCCACTGCACTATATTGAGATGAAGTGGTCTAATTGTCACGACACTCCTTAGTTGATTTGCCCTCGTGCAGTACTCACACTCACCACTGTTTCTGTTTGGAACTGTTCCTGATTTCTTTTCATTAAGCACTTCACCTGGCCCTTGTTTAGCACCTATTTAGTTTGGGTTCTCCCCTCACTCCTTGCCAGATCATTGCCTTTTGTTTCCTGTTACCCTGTATTTCTGGCTCCTGCATACTGTAACTTGGTCCTGTGTCTCCTGGTCTTTGCTCCTGTGTCCTCCGATCCTGTGCTCTGGTTCCGTGGTCTCTGCTTTACTACCAGTGATCCTGTCCCTGCAGCCTTGCTCATTTATTCGACTTCTGGTCTTGCTTCTTGATGTCACTACATTAGTCTTGTGACTCTGGATCTGTGCCCTACCTGATACTCGTGGTAGCTGCACAATCCTGTCCTTATACCAAAGGACTGTTACAGTATTTGTTGCCTGCACGATTCGTGCTTATTTTGATTTACTGTATATAGTGTGTGTGTGTGTGTGTATGTGTGTGTGTATGTGTATATGTATATATGTATATGTATGTTTTAATTTTTTTTTTTTGCTTTCTCCTTTGGTTCCCTGTAAATATATATATTTTTTTATTTTTTTCCCTATTCATTTGTGTCTTGGAATTTATTTCTTTGCTATAGTGGTTCCCACATTTAAAGTGACAGTGCTGCTCCAGGGCAGCACCCCTTGATGTCATTACACTAATTGCCTTTAGTGGTCTTTTAAGCACTGTTAATATTAGCAGCCAGAAGATCCTTAATGTCTGCATGCTACTTACTTCTAACTGAATGGTTACCTACTACCACCTAGTTTTTAGGGTTTTGCATACATGTGTTTTCCATTGAATTTTCATAGCAACACCACCAGCATCCTATAAAAGGTTTGCTCAGTACATGTGTACTTTACCTGTGATTGTCTGAGTAAGTTGCCAACGGTGCTTTCATTCACCAGACTTGCTACATTTTACAGTTATTTACTGAAAACTAATAGTGATTTTTCAATACAGAATGTATGGAGAGTTTGTAGTAATTAACTTGTCTTTCCTCTGTACTTCTAGATGTGACAAGTATAATTTACCTGTTTATAAGGAACAGGTGATAATGTTTACCATTCAGCATGTAAACCAGGTGTTATTTAGTGTTTATCAAAATCTATCCAACTCTATGGGAGATGTAAAAACATTCGGTAGCCACTGGTTGTCAGATGTTAAATGTTTTGTAGCATGGAAACAGCCAGCAAACGCCAACAACAGCCATCTTTGTGATTACTGACTTATCAGTAAATTAGTGCAACAAGCATGGAAACAAGTCTAGACTTGCAGACACCCTACGTGGATTTCTTTGCAAAATATAATGGCACAGAACATCTTGAAGAGAGCATTAAAAATCAGTTTTTATCATAGATCTGTGAGAGTTTACAGTGAATAGAACATTCAAAGACACATCAGGATATAGACATCGATGACGTTATCTTCGGGTACTTAAACAGATTGATATGATGTTATAAGGCAAGCTTGTCTAGAGTAACCTCCTATATTTAGAGCTGGACGAAATCTTGTAAAGCTCAGAAGAGGAATCAGAGATATTGTATGCATGCGTAAGATAGATTAGTAAACGTGGCTTTGATGCATAGATCTGCAAGACTTCCTAGGTAAACCACATAAAGCTGTATGTAATATTTAAACTGAAGTTAATATGGGAAACAGACCTCTGTATCCACTGGTTTAAAGGGTGGTCACAAAGTGCACAATGTATGAAGGGCTGACATTGAGGGGAAATTTATATCCATGCCCACAAAACAGTACCAATGAATACCATTGGTAAACAAATATCAAACGGTGAAGCTGGTTTCTGGAAACTCTAATTGTTTGCTGAGAGAGTGCCTGGTGGGTGATTAATGTAAACCTCCTGGCAACACAAATAAAATCTATTTGTGGCTAGAGTGCGTCTACTTGGAAGGAAAAATCATATGTCTCTGTGTGGGTTTCAAGCTTGGTGGTATACCACAGCCTACTGTCAGCACATATAGAATCATAATCCCATATCTAACCGAATTTTAGAGTAAAACTATCTTCCTTCAATGAAGAGTAGCCCCAGGTTTCAGAGCTTTGTTAAATAAAAAAAAAACAACCCACAGATATCCTGCAGTATAGGCTTGATGTCCCCTGAAGGGTACTTTGTACGTACCTTGGGCATAGCGACAACTAAATGGCCGGTGGTTTGAGATCTCTTGGCAGTGCTGCTATCAGGCTTTACTTCAGCAGGAAGGACAATCTGAAAAGGCTGAACAGATAAGATATTAGGGAGATACAGAAAAACACTGCAAAAAGTGCTACGGATCGCAAATCTCTATAGCATCATATCTTTTCACTTCCAAGGCTTTCCAGAATATCACAAAACGATCAATCGAAAAAAGGTGCACAGACCCTGCCCTTCTTTGGGACTAGGCCCCTATTTACTAGAGTATCACAAGGAAAGCTATGAAGCATAATTATTCCTTTTCTGGAAAGTGTGATTAAAGGGTAGGATGTTTAGAATGGTAAAGCAGAGTCATGGAAAGTGCACAAATATTGGTTACATTGAGGGGAAATTGTATGGGGAAATGTCTAAAAATGCCTAGGGAATGATGGAAATCTATCTACAGCCCAGGCCATCCATCATCTTGTTTTACCATTGGTCCTGTATGAACAGAGACAGCTATATCAGCACTAGCTACATACCATGAAATTAATCTAAATGCTACTAACGCTAACAAATACACATGCTGACTGCAAATAAAATTGCAGACGAGCAAGCTAAATAGCCTTCCGTTGTAAAATGTCACCATGACGATCGTGTCACCCTAACTGCTCAGCATTGTCCTCTCTTCACTTTTGTCCAAAAAGGACCTGCTAATATAAAACTGAAAATCCAAGTGTATTGGAATGGCAGGCAATAATATCCTGGGTGCATTGGAAAATGTGGCACTGATTGATTAACTGAGTAGCACCAATATATATATGTTTGTAATCTAATCCTCAAGCGAGCTGTCAGAACACAAAAAACAGACATTAATGTATCTGTCCATGTAAATATTCTACTCCTCCACAGAGAACTGTATTTACTATGCTAGCACTAAGCATGTGCATAACACATTAGGAAATGTAAAGAGACACAATTAGCTAGGCAAGGTGCAGTCTGGGTAGTTTGTTCTTACTGCTTGTTGATAAACCAAATTGTAACATTGAACAAACATTAACATGTTTACCAGCCAACCAACTGGATGATCTGACAATGTATTCAAATTTATAGGGAGGGAAGGAAATTGAATAAGTCCTTTCAACATAAAAACACTGGCCTGTATGGTATGCATAAAAATTATGTATCAACCTCCCCCCCAAACACACACACAAAAATATAATAAATAAAATAGGCACTTTTATTTGAAAAATATGCTGCATGCTTAAAAGGAGGGTGGCAGAACACCACCTTTACTCTTCAGTTATACATTTGTATGCAAATCATTGTTTAACATACTTTATGATTTATGCTGATTATAAACAAGTAAGTATCAAGTAAGTAACAAGTATCACAAGAAAGAAGAAGCACTTGGTGGGCAATTTTGCAGTTCCTCAGCACACAAAATCTGTGGAAACTTCATGAGCGTCTTGAAGCGGCTCTGTTAACCCCCCTTTCCCTTCTTATGAGTGTTTTATAACAGATAAAATCTTTAAGACATAATTACATTGACTGTGTTGGAATTTCACTGAAAACAGTCAAAAGATATCGTAAGGCAAAATAGGGACGACTCTCGTACATGTACAAGGATACAGCACTGACATGGGCATTAATGAGGACCTACCAGATGGACATGGCAGTAGCTATAAGGGACTGCTTCAGATAAGTAAAACTTACATTCTCCTGCACCCAAGGCAACCCTACTGCAGTGACACTAGGTGGGAAAAATCTGAGTTGCTTTGCCCATTTTTATATGGCTACAACAATCGATATTGTTGAATGAATACATATTTACCTTCTTCTTCACTAACACTTTTATGTAGTTTGGTTGAATATCAACATCAACAAGGGAAATGTCTAGATGCCTGTGAATTAAACCAATAAGCCATTTTTAGAAAACATGGTCTATTATATCTGCATAAGGGTTATTGAGAAAATAACTGGAACAGACTAAATTTGATATCATATTTATAATGTGTCCATCAGTCCATCAAGTCTTTTATCCAAAAAGGAAATTACAATCACATATCAAATATTTATTGACATGTTAACGATTGCCATGAGCTGTTAATGATTATTATTGGCATGGATATGGCACCAACTTATTCCACAGCGCTTTACAGTATTATAAGAGAAAAATGTTACAGGAACAATACATTAATGAGAACCTTGCTCAGAAGAACTTACAATCTAAAGACACACAATCACAATCCCACTATCTTGATATCTATCACCATTATCAGACCAGTAAAACTGGCGCAATACCATTAAAACATTCACTTTCAGTGATCACATCAGTGATTGTCACTGTATGACTTAACTCATGCAAGTTTACGTGAAACACGTTTTGGCTTTTGCAAAAGCCACTGTATTGATGATATATTTTTTTTCAGAGTGGCCTATTATTGTGGTCAGCCTAAGGCACACCCGTGCAATAATCATGCTGTCTAATCAGCATCTTGATATGCCGCACCTGTGAGATGGATGGATTATCTCGGCAAAGGAGAAGTGCTCACTAACACAGATTTAGACAGATTTGTGAACAATACTTGAGAGAAATAGGCCTTTTGTGTACATAGAAAAAGTCTTAGATCTTTAAGTTCAGCCCATAAAAAATGGGGGCAAAAACAAACGTGTTGCGTTTATAATTTTGTTCAGTGTAAATTAGTTTAATCACACAGATCAATATGTACAGAACATGTGTACTTCAGTGCATTACAGTGTGTGCGGCCACTAATGAAAAGACACAATTATACACCAAGGGCCTCATACAATGGCAAATGGTTGCAACAAGAAAGTGCAGCAGGGGTATGTATATGAAAGGTGTTTTTTGTTTTTTTTGTGTTACCTCCACTACATTATTCACTCAGTAGATATTGAAATATTGTTTACTAGGATGTTGGAACAAAAAGTGACAGTTTTGCTTTAAGAACAAAATATAGAATTTTTACTAGTGATACTTAAGGGTATATAAAGATACTCTTCATTTTCATACTTTTCCTCATCCATCAGATGAGAAGCAGCTAAGATTCTTTCAACAGTGGTTAGAGATGTAATGGGGAGTACTAATTTCATCTCAAATAGGGTGTGACAGAACATATCTGGCACACCCCAGCCACAGGTCACATATATAGATATTTTGCCCACAAGCACCCGCCACTTGGAATTATTATTTTTTAAATAACAAAACAAATAGCGTTAGGAAGCCAGATGAATGGACAGGTAAGGGTTTGGTAATGGATTATGGTGGCAGTGATACAGACACTGACCTTAGGTAACGGCTCTAACCTTGAAAAATGAATTACCCAACATCTATTCATATTTTTAACAGAATAAAATAACTCTGATGTTATGCAATCAAAATATTAAAAATAAATGTAAATCTAATAATCTGAATGATCTATTCTTACGTTTTGCATTTGCTGGATAATGTCTCAGAATTCTAATTTCCATATAATTTTATTTTGCCTTTGTGTAAAAGTAATAATGATGCAAATGATGGAGGCAATGCTGAAGATTACATTTCAAGGACATTTTTTTATAGCATACCTCATGTCTCTTCAAGGTAAGGACGTCCATCAATAAAAGTATAATAATAATAAAAAAAATAATCTATTCTGTGTGGACACCTTAATTAATTAATATATTCCAAGGGAAAGCTACAAGATGAATGCTGTACAAATGGGAAGAAAACAATAATTACCTATGAATAGCCAGATCCAAAACGAACTGATTATTTTCTTCATCGTCTGCCAGAGAGAAATCTAGCCTGGAGAACAAACAGAGAGAGAATTAGAGAACCCAAGGGAAGGGGCAGCTGTTCTACTCCATGTCAGCATTTCTGTTCATGGTTCTTGTAGTAGTATTGATCCAAGAGAGAAGCTGCCTTATAGTGGCTGCCACATTTCACACCTTGCATTCAAACGGCAGACTATGCTTAAATTTTAGTGATTACAGGAGGCTCTTGCAGGGTCTAGCAAGCTATTAACATTGCAGGGGATAAGAAAATTTTAAACAGAACTTGCAATAAAGAAAGCCTAAATAGGGCTCTCTTTACAGGAAGTGTTTATGGAAGGCTGTGCAAGTCACATGCAGGGAGGTGTGTCTAGGGTTCATAAACAAAGGGATTTAACTCCTAAATGGCAGAGAATTGAACAGTGAGGCTGCAGGGGCATGTTCTATACACCAAAACTGCTTCATTAAGCTAAAGTTGTTCAGGTGACTATAGTGTCAGTTGCTTCCATAGATCTTATTTTGCTGGATATTTATATATATATAGCTAGCAAGTGACCAGTCAGTTCTTGAATTTCATCTATTGGAAGCAGGAAAAATTGGCAAGCGAAAAGATCTGAGTGACTTTGACAAGGAATAATGACTAGACAATTAGGTTATAATGAATTATTATGGTAATAATTAATTATTAAAGCATACCTAAATTTTAATCCAGTGTTTCTTTATTTAGCCTCATGGCACAGTAACTGCAAGGATTCCAGTGTTCTTTTAAAAATCTCCCATTCCCAGCAATTGTTTCATCTGATTATATGTATACACATTGATCAGCCACAACATTAAACCACCTGCCTAATATCGTGTGGGTGCCACTTGTGCTACCAAAACAGTTCTAATGCGTTGAGGCATTGACTCCACAAGACCTTTGAACGAGTCCTGTGGTTTATGGCACTAAGACATTAGCAGCAGTTCCTTTATGTCCTGCACGCTGTGAGTTGGGGCCTCCATGGATCAGATTTGTTGTACCAGCACATGCCATAGATGCTCTACCAGATAGAGATCTGAGGAAATTGGAGGCAATGGCTACACCTTGATCTCTTTTGAATGTTTCTCAAACTGTTCCTGAATAATTTTGCAGTTTGGCATGGCGCATTATCCTGCTGAAGGATGCCATGGCTATGGGGGAACACCATTGCCATAAATGGGTGCAAAATTTCTAAGTAGCTGGTAGGTGCCCAAGTAACATCCACATGAATGCCAGGACCCAAGGTTATCCAGCAGAACATGCCCATAGCATAACACTGCCTCCGCCAGCCTGCCTTCATCCCATAATTCATCCTGCTACCATCTCTTCCCCAGGTAAACAACGCGCACACACCAGGCAATCCACCTGATCTAAAAGATACATCAGACCAGAAAACCATATTTCATTGCTCTCATGGTCCAGTTCTGATGCCTAGACTAGACTTAATTTCCTAGACTTTGGGAAATTAATTTTGGCTTCAAACATATCCTACTCTATCCTAATAGTTCAGAATTTCCACTCACTTTGGAGCAATTCTGCACCAAAAGGTCCAAATTGCCCTTTCTTGGTTGGGACATTTCCTTTCCTGCCACGATAGGCAAGTACTTATAGTACCTGGCTTGTCTATTGATCGGAGAGAGTCACCTGATTGTCAAATTTACCAAAACTGGACAACTGCCCATATATTCTGCACTGATCTCAATAGAGTTCAAGGGGAGGGGGAACCCTGATGACTTGATAGGATGTGTGGATCCTGATATAACGAGAGTGATGATTATAATATCACGGGCACATTCTGCTTTTCGTGATTATACTCCTTCATTCTACATGGGTGTCCAAACTTGTCCCACCAGCAGCTATAAGCCTATACTTTGCACAATTCTCTTCTGTCTAGTGAATGGCAGGTAATTATGGGAATTGTAGGCCAACAACACTTGGAAGACCAACGCTACGCAGTCCTTGTGAATGCCCATTAAATCCTCTACACGCTCAAGTATACAATGTTCATGTTATTCAGACATGTTAATAATATGTATTCTATTAATTTATTAATTCATGTTTCGGTTTACAAAGCGTTACTGGAAGACTGCTTTACAGAACACATTTTCAGAAAAAAAAAAAAATGGAAAATACCATTCTCTTTCACATCAGTGTTTCCAAAGACTGATAATTCACTGGTTGCCTAGTTTCAGGACAGAGCTATAATTAACCTTATAATTCAGCGAGCACATGCTAAAGCATATTTTTAAAGATCTGTCAAATCTGGCACTGCACTAAAGGTTTGTCATTTCAGAATTCTACACAACAAGCTGGTATTAAAGGAACAGGCAACTCATGTTTTTAAATAATGGAATAATTAAGAAAAATGGACAGTAGAAATAGGTTATAAAGGTCAAGGCAGCACGCTGCAATGCCTCCAGGACCTGGGTTTTAACATGTTTTTTTTTGCCTTTCTAAACTTTTATTCACCTGACCATTGTGTTATTCACTCACTTGGGTTCATTTACGTTGAGGATGCGTCCTTCAGCTGTGACCAAAGTCCTCTGTGGTTTCTCTTTCTTTTTTTCGTCACTGAAAGATGAGAACAGGATTATAAACATCAAAAAAATATAAACATCTTAATTGTTTTTGCTAAATTAAAAATCCAAATTATAGCTTTTTTTCCATCAAACAGCCTGAAACGTCACATTGTGGGAAAATAAATTAGACGCATTTATTAGTATATCACAAATGTATTAGTATATCACAAATATTAGAGATAAATAAAAAACATAGGAAGTACTTTGCTTTTAAAAAAAAAAAAAAAACTCTTTAACCCCTTAAGGACTGAGCCAAATGTAAACGTTTTGATCAAAATGAAACAAAACTTGGAATTTGACTACATGTCTGTTGAACCGTAATTCACCTATTTCATATTATGTGCATCCACACTTATTATTTATCATTTTATTCCGGAGAAAGAGGGCTTTCATTTAACATCAAATATTTACCTATGAAACATCATTTAATATGAATAAAATATTAAAAGAATGGGAGAAATTAAGAAAATGTATTATTTTACTTATGCGTGACATTTTACCTGTGAATGTCATAATACTGTTTGCTTTTACTGCAATAAAATACACATATTTGTATTCAGCGATGCAGAATTTTGCAGAATTTACAAATAATAAAGAACAATATATTAGGGAAGGGAAAGGAAGGGTGAAACTGGGAAGTGGGGGGAAAAGGGGGGATATCCATCCATTCTAACAGTAAATATGTTAACGTACAAGGCACTTGAGTTGAATAACACTACATTACAAGCTATTACAGGTTATGTGTTTTTTTGACATCGGTTTCCCATTGATCCCAGTGGTATTTTAATTGAGCAAATATGTGTGTGTTATTTCTATGTGATAGTTCGTATGCTTTGATTTCTAGTGTTAGTGTCAGTACTTCCTTGATAGAGGGTTTTTAAATAGAGCAAGTTCAGATGTGAAATTGTCTATATTCCTGTTCACTTTGACAATTAAGTAATGCATCGTTTTCCAGTATTTAGTTAGTCTTGGGCAATACCACCATATGTGGGCCATATTGCCCAATCCTCCGCAGTCTCTCCAGCACCTATCGCTGTACCTATTATTCATATTATGCAGTCTGGACGGAGTTAGATACCATCTATACAGAATTTTAAAATGATTTTCATGATGATTAGAGCAGAAAGATAAACTCTTCAGTGCTGAAATTTTTTTAAATCATTCTTCCAACTTATATTGGGTACCCAGCTCCGTCTCCCAAGACACCATATGTTTCAGTTTGGTTGTTGGTTTATCATTGTGTAACATATAGCATATAGATATAATGCCTTTCCTATTTGGGTCATTTAAAAATAGCTTTTCTAATGGAGATATAGCCATTGCTTCGTAATTTTTATCAAGTTCTGGAATTTTGTATATTTTGTTCAATTTCTCAATCACTAACTCACATTCAACCTTGCATTCAAACGGCAGACTATGCTTAAATTTTAGTTTTTCATAAGACAGGATAGAGTTTCCATGGAAAAAATTGTCTATATGATGCAGTTGGTGTCCTTTAAGCAATGCTTAGTCTAAGGTTGGGATGTAATATTTTAAAGAATCAATTGGCATGGCTCTATATAGTTTTATCAAGTGACAATTGTTTTTGAATACTAAATCCCAGGCTTTAAGTGTGGTCTTAGTAGTCAAAAACATTTTTGATACGCCAGGTCTCCTTGAAGGGTTTAGCCAGGCTAGTTCCCCGATTTGATAGGGGAAAATGCTGGATTCCTCCATCTCCATCCATCTCGGCCTGTTTTTTTGGCTATTAAAGCTTACAACCACTGCAGCATTAGTATCAAAGTAGTATTTCCTGAAATTTGGGACACCAATGCCCCCGTGGATTTTTTGGTGCTGCAGGGATGTAAGCTTAATTCTATTGAGTTTATTGTTCCAGATAAATTTAAGCATTATTGAATGCACTTTATTAAAAAAGGACATTGGAACAGATAAAGGGATAGTTCTGAAATAATACAGGATTTTTGGTAGGATCGACATTTTTATGGAGGCAATTCTTCCTAACCACGACAATTCCATGCCACCCCATCTCTCCATCTCCCTTTGTAGGTCTGGCCATGCTCCCTTCAAGTTATGAATATGCATATTAGGTAAATGTTAGCATAAGTTAATACCTAAATAGTTCAGGTAATCCTTCCTCCAGTCGAACGGATATTTTGCTTTTAATTCATCCATGTCAGACTTTTGCAAATGAAAAGGCAGGACCTGGGTCTTAGATATATTTAATTTATAATATGTCACTTCTCCAAACTGGAGTAGAACTGTGTTAAGAGATTCCAAAGATTCTTTTGGATTTTTGAGTGCTAGTATGACATCATCTGCATATAGCCCTATTTTGTGGGTGGATCCCTTAATTGGAATACCTGCTATTTCTGGGGTCGTCCTGATCTAGTTAAGCGGTTCGCTAATATCTTAGCATACATTTTTATGTCGTTGTTTATAAGGGATATGGGCCTAAAATTAGAGCCTCTATCAGGAGTTTTACCTGGTTTTGGCAAGGTGACAATCTGTGCGGACAAAGATTCTCCCGGGATCTTCCCCCCGGACTTATAGTAGTTAAATAATTTGGACATGTGGGAAATTAAAGTTTCTGCAAAGGTCTTGTAATATAAAATGGTAAATCCATCAGGTCCAGGAGCCTTTCCTGACGGCATGAGCTTGATCGCCTCGGCTATCTCTGCTTCAGATATATCACACTCTAATTTTTCCAAATTGTCAGAGGACAGCCGAGGCAACGAAACCCTGTCTAAAAAATTATTACTAGAAGTCTCAGATGGCTGGGTGAGGTTCAAATCAGATTCCAAATTGTAGAGTTCGCTATAATATTTTGCAAATTGATCGCTAATCTTATTCGGGTGGAATATTTTTTGTCTCTGGTCATCTATTAAGTGTGAAATTTTAGACTGGGCATTTACCTGTCAGAGTTTGGACGCCAGGAGAGTTGAGGCCTTGTTACCTTTTAAATAAAACAATTTCTTAAGGCGTCTCACCATGAGAGTAGTTCTATCTATATTTATTTTATGTATTTTTGATTTAATCTCCCCTATCATTGCTGATAGGGAAGAAGATGGACCAAATGTATTAGCCTGATTTAAGTTACACAGTTCTTTTTCCAAGTTTCTTAAATTGCTGTTATTATTCTTCTTCGAGTGGGACGCCCTAGAAATGAAATGACCCCTCATCACAGCCTTGTGCGCATTCCATGTCACCTCGCCAGGAACCTTATGCGAAACATTGTCCAAAAAATAATCATTTAGTACCCCCTCAGCGAGCGATCTGTTTTCAGGATCGTCTAACAAATAATCACTCAGTCTCCAGTGTCTGTTGGGGGAGGAAGAAACCGTTTCATCTATATGCAAAGTTATGGGAGCATGGTCAGACCAATTAATATCTAAAATATCAGATCTTGAGATGTGTGATATGAGAGTGCCCTGTATCATGAACCTGTCCAGCCTGGAATACATGTTCTTGGATACGGAGTAGTAAGTGAAGTCTCTCTCATTCTCATGTAATAATCTCCATGGTTCTTACAATCCGCATTCAACCATATACTTCGAGCATTTCATAGCTAGTCTGTCACTGTCTCTCGTATGGGGTGTGTCTAGATTTTCCCTTGCATTATCTAAGTCGCCGCCCATAACGAAGTTCGTATCTCCACACATCACTAAAATCCCTTTCATGTTCTCATTCACCAATTCCATTATTTTCCTAAAAAAAGTTAGCTGACCTGTGTTGGGGAAGTACACATTGACAATTGTATATAAAACGTTGATAACTTTATTAACCCACAGTATGTATCTCCCGTCATCATCCATCGGTATCTTATCTGTAGAGCTGGCCACCTTCCTACTAAAAAAGATAGAAGTACCTCTAGACTTAGACTTGCAAGTGGAGTGAAATTGGGATGGGAATAACTGTGTCATAAATTTGTACTCTTTTCCTTCCTTAAGATGAGACTCTTGAATACATACAATATCCGATTTGTTGTCCCTGGACTTTCTGCTGGGGCAGGTCACGCAAATTGTAATTAATATAATGACTTAATTATGTAAAAATGTTACATAAATATATACGTAAAATATATATATATATGTATATATATATATATATATATATATATATATATATATTATATATATATATATCGATTATATATTTAAATAATTTTTTATATAATTCTTTATTTTTCAGTGCATGTGAAATAACATTTGTAGGGTATAACATGACATTAATAGGCAGTGCGAGAAAGCAGTTTGCGTATACAAAGCATGTGGATAAAGATGCACAATTTTTGTGGTCTAGGCAATAGGTAAAAGGTTCTGACCTGAGTCAGACCTTGCATAAAAACAATAATATTAAACATTTGGTTTGCATGTCTGGCAGGGTGTTTGTTGTGATGATATAGTGTGCTAGCATGCACAAAATCAGGCATAAATACAGTTTTTTTTGCAGAGGCTATTTTTATTATTTACAGAGTTACGTGTGTCTAGGGAGTGCTGTTCGGGTACCCTTGTGCATGTTAGGGATGCCCTTCGACCTGTGCTTCTCTTGTTGCCGAGCCTGCTAAGCAGCTGGGTTGAAGTGGACTGTGGCTGAGGTTGTCTGAGCTGAATCAGGTCGGGTGTAGGCAGTTTGGTGGCTGCTGAGTGAGGTCATGTAGTTTGATGTGGGTTTAAGCATATGGGTGTGGTTGGTAGTGTGTGCCTCTGTCTTTTAATCGGCCTCGCTTTTCGGGCCTGGGCTGTGGATGATCGTGTTGTTGATTTGAGGGGAGCTTAGGTCGGTTGTGGCTGTTAGTGCCCCTAACAAAGGGAGTTGCGGTGGGTGTAGAGGCCTGCCCCTGTATCCCTATCTCATGGAGCGTTGCCCCTCCATTCAAAGCCTCGTAGGGAGGGTCAGTATACCCCTAGCTCTGCACAGGGGGGTATGTAGGTTGCGGTAGCCTTGTCTAGCCAGATGGAGAACTGAAACAAAAGAAAATTGTTTAAACTTAGGTGGAAATGTGTGTTATGAGTACTGTCCCTTGTTGCCTGCTGCTCGTTGGGGTCCAAGCTCAGTCATGTCCCGGTGCTCGTGGTCGGGCAGTTCCGTGGAGTGAAGGGGACTAATGTGGTCGGGTCCCAAGTGGATGTTCCTCTCCGATCTCTTGATGCCTCGCCAAGGGCAGACAGTCCCAGTGCCCGCAGCAGTGTGGGTGCTTCTTCGGCCGCGGTGATTACGTGGCTAGATCCGTTGTGGGTCACTGTGAGGGCTTGTGGAGTGGTCCAGTGGTATATAACTCCTGCGGTTCTCAGTTGGCTTGTGGTTGGGTTTTGTGCCATTGCAGGGTGGACCTCGACAGGTCTTGGTAGAAGGACAGGTCGGCACCCTCAAATATGTAAGGTGTTTGGTTTCGTATAGCTGAGAGGAGTGCTTTTTTGTCTTGGGCCAGGGTGCAGCGAACTATGATGTCACTCATGGCATTTGTGGGGGCCCTAGGTGATTTTTGTAGGTGGAATATGCCATCAAGAGCGAGCTTTTTGGCGTGTGTTGGCGGTAATAGGGAGGCTGTTAGACGTCGCAGGTAGTGGGGCACTTCGTCCATGGTGACAGACTCTGGTACCCCTCTTATCTTTAGGTTATTACACCTGGAACTGTGATCCAGCGTAGCAAGTTGCGTGGAAAATGCTTGCTGGGTTTTATGGACGCTTTGCATGGAGTCTTGTACGATTGTCATTTCCCATCTCATATCTATGATGTCCTCTTCTGTGGCTCTCACCCTGTCTGTAACCACCTGTAAGTCAACCTGGATGACTGCTATGTCAGTTGCCAGCTTTTGGCGGAATTTGGTGAAGAGATTTTTAATATCATGCTTGGTGGCCAGAGCTGATATGTCAGGTAAGGCTGCAGCTGTTTGTTCTGGTGTTTGTGGCAAGGTTTGTGCTTGAGGGTAGTCAGGTGTTTGTGTCTGAGGGTCTGCTAAGGCCTTCTGGTTGGCTGGGGCCGCCATTTTGGGCAGGGTTTGGCGCTGTAATAGAGCCCCTATGTCTTGGGATTCACTTGATGTACCTGAGAGAGGTTTCTGTGAGCGTCTCCCCATGGCTGAGGGCTGATTATTATTATTATTATTATGATATTTATAGAGCACCATCAAATTCCGCAGTGCTTTACAATGGGTGGACGAACAGACATGTAGTTGTAACCAAACAAGTTGGACACACAGGAACAGAGGGGTTGAGGGCCCTGCTCAATGAGCTTACATGCTAGAGGGAGTGGGGTAAAATGACACAAAAAGGTAAGGATAGTATTAGACTAATGACAGTTGCAGAAGAGGAATCAGTCAGGAGCTATTAACAGTTTAATTGATACGCTTTTATGAAGAAGTGGGTTTTTTAACAATTTTTTGAAAGAGTGGAGACTGGGTGAGCATCTAACGGAGGAGGGAAGCGAGTTCCACTGGAACGGTGCAGCCCTCGAGAAATCTTGAAGGCGAGCATCTGAGGTGGGAGTACGGACAGAAGATAGACGTAACTCTTCAGCAGATCGTAAGGGCCTAGACGGGACATACTTGTGTAAAAGGGAGGATAGATAGGTGGGAGCAGCATTATGTAGAGATTTAAAAAAAAGCAAGAACCAGAATGTTAAATTGAGCTCTATATTTTATAGGAAGCCAATGTAGGGACTGACAGAAGGGTGAGGCATGGGAGGTGAGGGCGGACAGGAAGATGAGCCTCGCCACCGCATTCATCATGGACTGTAACGGCGCTAGTTGGGAGCATGTAAGACCACTGAGAAGCGGATTACAGTAGTCAAGGAGAGAAAGGACAGTGGAATGGACCAACACCTTAGTCGCATCTGGCGTTAAGTAGGGGCGGACGTGCGCAATGTTTTTGAGATGAGAATGACAGGATTTGGCAATAGATTGAACATGAGGCTTGAAGGAGAGGTCAGAGTCAAAGAGAACACCTAGGCAGCGAGCCTGCGTGGTGGAACTGATGGTAGCACCGTTGACTTGGAGGGAGACAGACACAGGAGTAACAACACTTGAGGGAGGAAAGACCAGAATTTCAGTTTTGATCAAGTTTAGTTCAAGGAAGTGGGCAGCCATCCAGTTAGAAACAGCAGGGAGGCAGTCAGAGACACTAGTCAAGAGGGACGGGGAGAGATCAGGAGAGGACAGGTAGATTTGTGTGTCATCTGCACAGAAATGATATTGGAAGCCAAAGGAGCTTATGAGTTTACCAAGGGAGGCAGTATAGATAGAGAACAGTAGGGGACCAAGGACTGAACTGCAGGTAAGTTGATGTCTGTGCTCCAGTTGCACTGGAGGGGGATGTGCCACAGGAAATCCTCCAGGCGCGTAGCGTGATGGTAGGCCGCAGGCTTCTTCCGTCACTGGTTCTGTCCGGATCCAGCAAAGAACGGCATGTGCCGATATCGGGAGACACCGGGATGTAGATGCTGGTCTGGGATATGGTGGATGGGCAGTTTATCCGAGGATATTCGGCGGATTGAGCAGAGCACTGTCGGAGCTCACGAAAATAGCGTCTGCTCCGTTCCGTGGTTAAGCCCCGCCCCCTATATAAATTATTTTGATATATACATATATATATGTATAAAAATATACATTATTTCATTCTAAGTGTATTTTGATATCTATATATATATATCTTTCCTCATTGAGATGCATTGATTCAATCCATCTATGAGGAGATGCTGATTGTCCAGGCCTGTGTTTGGCTTGTGGTGGAGCCCCCGATCTGCCTCCTTGACAATCTTAGCCCATCCTATGTTTTCCTATGGGAAAGCATTGTGATAGGCATTGATCAATACTTCTGATAATGTCAGCCAAGCAGACAGATCAGGAGCAGAGCAAGCAGCAGCAGACTGGAGTAAAAGTAAGATTTTACTATATTTACGTGAAAAGGGGTAGGCCAGAGTAGATTGTGTTTTTAACACTATTGGATCAGGAATACATATTTGTGTTCCTGACCTTATAGTTTTCCTTTGGGTGAACATGAAGACAGATCACTTCAATGGCATTCCTTTAAAATAGCAAAATGGTCTGGGACTTCCCTGCAATGTGACTGCCATGACTGTCAATGTAGCTTAATACTGTAGTTCTCAGGCAGTCTTGTGCCTGTGACTTTCCAACCTATGTTCTAAGATATTAGATATTGTAGGTATTAAACAGGCCTAAAATGTTGTCCCTGCTAATAAGAGGCAGATAGAGGTGGGATGGGGTATTTAAATATTAGTGAGGCATAATTATTCAGAGATTAGTTGGTGACCAAGTCCTATATGCTAGAAGGTGTGTATCATGTATTATTGGTACTGACAGTGATCTGTTCGATAGGACAGAACCATCAACCATTCTGTTCACAATAGAATAACAGAACAAAGTGTTGGGATTTTATAGATAAGTAGAATATAATCTTCAGTTTCCATACTGAAAGAAGTGTATTTATCGGTAAAGACATTGAACGTATTAATGCCAAGGAAAGGAAGACACTGCCGTGTACTGGCACTCACATAGTTAAATAATGTACTCTAAGTTAAAATACATGCAGTGCAATGCCAGAATGTAATAAGAATGATAATGTTAGCATTGCAAAAACCACAATGAAACATTAAAAATAAAATTGCAAGAGAGTAACCTATTTTGCAGCCTAGTATATCCGTCACCGGTGACACAAAGAAGCAATTTACTCAGCTCTTCTAAAGAATGTTCATAATATAATGATTTACAGTCACTATCAATTTAAAACCTTGATTTGTATGGCAATCTAATTAAACAAACCCTACACCAGTGTGTCTGTTAACAGCGTGCTTCTCTTCTTTCTTTATGAATGCTCATAAAAAGCTGAAATAAAAGTCTGCATGCATTATGGTATTACAGCATCTCAGTGAGATTCACTAATTATTAGAGGTAATGTTGTCAAAACAATGCATGCCCTTGCAGGATCTATTTTTCCTTTGTTCTCTTGCAGATCCTACAATCTTTGAATCTCTTGGTGATCATATCCTACTCTTGCCCCCTTGAGGACAATGGTCTGTGTGCCCTTGATAATCTTATAACCATCCAATCCGCTGGAGACCCTATACTTTTCCAACCCCTGCAGATGTGATAATCCCTCTGCCTTTGTCTGTCCCATCTTTCCTTTGCTCCAATACTCTTCCAATCCCTTGTTGACCATCTCTTTCCTCTGCCCCCTAAAGGCAGCACTCCGTAATATCCTATAGCAGCATTGCCTTGGCTTGCCCCTCTACTAAAAGTCTAGATAAGAGGTTTTGAATAGTATATTTTGTTACATATTACAATACCATGGTATGAGCTAATTATTAATGGACAACCAAACTAATGCAATGTAAATCATTTGTATCACATTATAAAATTGTCACGATACGCTGTCTTATACTCTTCCAGTTTGTTCCACTACCTTCTTGCTGATCCTACATTCATCCAATTCCTTACAGATTAGATTTCCTCAGCTCATTGGCAGATATTACGTATCTTTAACCGTACAATTAGAATTTATTTGAAGAGTTCTGCTCCATAAAAGAGACAAGCCATGAAGCTATCCCCACATACCTGAATAATAAAAAGTGTTAAGGGACTGCATCAGTAATGAGTGAGCCACACACCCTAGGGATCTTAGACATTTATGGAATCACCTATTCATTATCTCCTGTAAACATCTAGGTTGGTTCCTCAGTCACTCTGTAGCGCCTATTCGTTACAAATGTTTATCTCCTCTTTTAAATGCCTTTCAATTATATCCTCTTCCTGTAACCATACTGCATGATGGTTGAATGGGAGTGGACCTAGGGTTAAGCTATGGTAAGTTGGTAAGTAAACATTCCTATGCACAGAAGCAGCCCCTGTTAAAAGTAGGAAAGCAAATAACAGTCTGTACCTTCTGCCCTCTTTAGATTTGCGTTTTTCTTCCAAGTATTGGTGGGTTTCCAATCTAGATTCAGGAGTATACAATGAGGGCTGCTGCCAAAACTCTTTATCCTTTTCTTCTTCATCTGTTCCTACAGCCTCATTGTCTCTGTCCGTCTCAGAAGAATTCTCTTTGTTTTCAGAACTTTGTGGTCTAAAATGAAACAAAGATCAAAACGGTCAATTTAGCTCATCATAGTCTCCTTTAAAGCCGACCAGTTGCCTGAATGAAAGATTAAAATAAATCAATGGACAATAACAGAAAACAAACAATTAGATAATCAACAAACTGTCCATTGGGCACTGGTTAGCATGGGAATACGGGAATTGTAGTCAAATCACAGCTGGGGAGGATCAAGGCTGAAGACTGGACATCTGTGCAGTACATACAGAGTTTTAAAATATTGTTAATAAGAGATTTTAGGCTACCTACTGTGACACTCATAATGCTATATGCACCTTATGCTTACATATTTAGACCCCTTTTATTTACCGACTGTAGCACCATTTATGAAACAAGAGAGAATAACCAATAAGAAAGTGGAAGTCTGAAACACGCTGGGAGAAAAGTACATCAAAAGTGCAAATGTGGAATTAAAACATATAACAATATAAAACTGCTGGACTGCTTTTATACCTACATAGACTTTTTGTATTTTGTTTCGGGTTCAAAGTAAAATTGCTATCTTTAATCAATGTATGGTTTATGGTAAGATCAATAATGAAACTATTTTGATACCTATCTAGGAATTGCTGATTAGCAGGAAGTTTGAGACGTATACCTAGCTATCAGCTTCTATTACAGCGACAATATAGTAAGATGTTATAGTGTCAGGTATCTAAAGATAAACGCGTGATAATTCTGACCTGCAGATAATAGTCCGTTAGGTACCCATCAGGTTCTATGCTGGGTTTAACTATTCATACTATCTGATTTAGCTGTACATCATATATTCTAGATATTTACACTGTGGTTGCTACGTGTGTTTTTGTCATTTTGGTTTGACTACAAAACCCTGAAATAGGATCAATAATATTACTTCACTATTGCTAATGATCTGTAGCAGTAATGTCTAATCGTGTCACTCTAGATGAAGCATTATGAGAAATTCAGATAAAAAACATCTGTGGTGCCAAAGTTACCCATCAGTGGTCTCTATGGCATTTGCATACTGTGCATTAGTAACCTGACATAGTGTACCCCGTATGCACAGAATGTTATGTACAAACCCTGTCATGGGCTAAGATTCTAAGTATTTAAATCCCCTAAAACCCAGACTAGCGACTGCAAAGAAGACATATGTTTGAGGATGTGAAATATCACCAGTAAATGTTTTTTCCCTTAAAATCTCTGGAAATACATAGGGCAACGTCAATACAGAATCTGCTGTTTTAGCTCCATTTACTTTAAGTGCCATATATCACCATGATAGATGGGTGAGAAGCTGACTTTCCCAGAGAAAAAGATTTATTGATTGGAGGGACCGATGTGAACCGAGAGAGCAAGGAAAACCACAAAGGCAGAGCAGCGTTACACTAAGTACAAGACAAATGTTTCCATATAAAGAATGATGGACAAATCTATCTTACTTTATGTACTTTCTTATAAGAGCAATTTGAAAAGAAAATAATAATCTTGCATATAAGAAAAACCATGTTAAGTCTAAGAAAATAGAGAGTTACTTAGAATGACAGTATGGTTCTATTTAAAGAGATAAAACTCTGCTTTAACTAGTCACAGTGTGACTTGTTGGGGATTCAGAAATGAATTTCAAATTTTGTGTCACAATAGACAAAATGTTTTTAGTTCATCTACACATCACCAGGGAATTCTCCAGTAAGTGAAACTTTATCTGGGACTAAATGGAGTGGCTTGGGACTTCTAGCTAAAGGGCAGGGAATTTATTTAGTCAACATGACAAGAGAGAGTGAGCATCCCTGACCCGAAGGGATTGGGCACTCACTGGCCCTAATAGTTATTTAGATGGCCCATTTGACAGTACCCTATATATTTTAATTACCTCCCCACCACTGGAAAAATGTCAGTTAAGATTTTCCTTCACAATCATGGGGTGGAAGAATGGTTTGTTGGTCCACTCATTGTTAATCATCGGGTATATTTAAAAAAAAATTATTATATACTGCATTTAGGAGTCAATTGGCATGTTCTTTTCTTAACATACTTCCCTTTCAGCATCACATTAGAGGTTTGTCCATCACTCAGCAATAAAAGGATTCATTTACTTGCTTGTGACTGATGCAACCTGCTGGGTCCTTCAAATTTCAGGCTAAAATAGCCAAACTAATAACACAGTTTACCTAGAGATTTTTATTACAATTTAGTTATTTTTGGTGTTTGAATTCCTAAATCTAGAAATTTCTTCTAATTCTAAGCTAGACTAAAATCAGAGAATGTAATTGTGATTTGGTCGCATATAGCTGAGTTTATGTTAAGAGCCATCATGTTACTATCCAGCTGAATTCAGCAGGCCAGCACTGATTTGATCCATCATTGAATGGAGATAGCAATAATACTTCAAATAATTGGCGAAAGATCACATTTTATGTTCAAGTAAACATTACTTTTGCACTGTATGCTAAAGAGGACTAAGTTATATTGTTAAACCGTGGTCTAGTTTGAAGAAAAGATTAAAGTCCATCAAATTCAACCTTGGAACCCATTCTTTTATGCTGTTGATCCTAAGATGACAAAACCTCAACTGTAGCCATTTCCAATTTTACAACAAAAATTCCTTCTCTGCTCCATAATGGCAATTATAATGGCAACAACCTGTCCACATACAGATCAATTATATCCTAAAAGTTTTTTTTGATGTCAGCATGCACAGAGCTACTTGGCACTGTGTGCATTTCCAAGGATTCACTTTGTCTTTGTTTGCCAGTAAATGTTAGTATTAAAAGCTTTAAAAGTAACATTATAATTTCAGCTCATTAAAAACATGGCAGCTTCATTATAGCATTATTACATAGCTGTGTTCATTGCTATGTGAGGTCCTGTAATAATGTGGGTTACAGCAGTGTGCCCTGTTATGTAGATTTAAGGGTAGTTAGAATATTTAGGCTCAAGGGGGATTTACGATTAAGAGGTAGCTGCTGTCAAGATATTGTGGACTATAACTCACTGAAAATCAAGATACTTTAAGGCAGGTACTCTCTTACCCGTAATCCCCTAAAATCCTAAAACACCCATTTCTAAACACCCTATAACCCTTAGGCCCTCCTACCCCAACTACCTCTAATGAAGGACTAAATGACATATTGTTAACATTGCATACACTGTCATTGTTTTTTTAAGGGGTTAAATCATAGCACGTTTGTTATATATGTGTCTGATCATCATGGGAATGTAATTCTCAAACATCTGCAGTTTGATCCTCATTACATTAGACAGCCTAATGCACAGCTAGTATCTCAGGACGCACAGGGTGTTGTCGATGTCCGTGTACCATCGTCCGTCAAATCCAGGGTTCTTCTTGTGCAGTTTTCTGGGTTCAATTTTCTTTTCTGTCATTTTTTCCTGAGCTGCTTCTCTTTCTAGGGCCCTCTTGTAAAGATAATCCGCCTCCTGCGCTTTGATTTGCACTTGTACTTGTGGATAATCCTGCATAGCCTGAATCCTTTCTGACCGCTCAATCTCCTTGCCGTCCAACCACTTCAATGGAGAAACAACATCAGAGAGTTAATTCCATAGATAAGTGTGGATAAGTTAAAAAAGGAAAAATGTGTAGAACACATACATACTGTATACAGTGTATCTGTGATTGATATATATACACACACACGCGCGTATCATTTAATGAATATCTATATTATGTAAGGAAAATTACAATAACAGTGGAAAAAGCTGCAAACAAGCTGTAAGACATTGCACATTGCAAAAGCTCTAGAACATGAGTGTGCATAATTTATATGCCTAGCGTTCTGATGTCAGTCATATCATGCAGTGCAGGCAATTCATATGCACATATAATCCTTCCAAAGCTATTTAGGAAATAAACATAGTGAAGTATCCATGAAGAATGGACATTAGAATGGAATTTTTTCTCTGCTGACAAAAAATAAAAATAATACTATTAGACATGTCAGGTACATAAAAATGAAGGCTCCTTTTACACTCACGCTATAGTAAATAACATGGTAATGTATATAAAGACAATCTGCACAAACGTTCATCACACCAACCATTAGTGCATCTTACTGAATCATCACAGAACCAGTATATGTCACACACCAATGTAGCCTTGAATAAAACCATTAGCAGATCGCATTAACCTATCGGAATGACACCTCATGAAATCATTTTATTTAATAAAAGCATCCATAGAACAACAGCAAAACATTGTAATACCTAATTAAACAATCTGTATACCTCATTGATCCATCAGACAAATTGTTGAATTATTGGAAGACCTCAGAGAACAATTATATTACTTAGCCAAACCACAGAACCATCATTACACTTCTCTGCACCATTAATACACCTCAACAAAACATCAGTATACGTCACAGATCAACTCAAATAACCACTGAAACCTCACATGGAAAACCCATCCCATCTCACCCAAACATACTATATACTGGCATACTACATTAAACAGCTCACAGGATCACTGGAGGACATACAATAATCAATCCAATTACCCAAAAATATATTGCTTCTTTAATAAAATATCAGATAACATGACTGTATCTGCCAGACAAGCTGTGTAGAACATACAGTTCCTTCTATTTCAACATTCTTATCTTTAACTGCGTACACACACAACACTCGCCACTACACAAAGTATTATACTTAGTCATCCACCCACACACATACACACCACTCATAGAACAGAGCTAATGTCTTTAGAAGCGGGCCCCGTTCTGAGAAACCTTAATCCTTGTCATATTTCGATATTTTGTTTCATTAGTTTATATATCCATTGCTCAACATCTCAGAAAAAGTTGGAGCGTTATAAATATTAATAAGAACAAAAACCCCAGGACATACTTAAAAAGGAGTGAAATCTCAATGTATCCATCCTGGTACAATATTTTATAAATAATTAAATACTAAAACTTGATGGATCGAAAATTAGAATAATTTATCATGGTTACCTGTAGGGGGAGACATATAGCCATACTATTATAAACAAACACAAAGATAAAGCACCGCGCTTACAGCAGCAGTGGCTTAGTATCCAACAGCTTAAAATACATAGTAAAAACAAAGAAAACGTTACCTGCGCTCTGGCCTAAATCCCCATGTGCGTTTAAACAGAAATGGAGGCATACTATTATACCATGTGTCATTTTATCCAATAATGTTAGTCTTGAACCTAGATATATTAGTAGACTATATTCCCCATGATGCACTACCAAACTTTGGGAAATGTAGTCCACATGCAACTGCAGTTCCAAGATTACCATCACTACTATAGTATGTAGAAATGATTTCATATCAAAGTAATTAAACCATTTTAATTGCCCTGTTTGTCAATGTCTTTGTATTTTATTTCTCTACCAGAATTTTTGGCTCATTTATTTATGATGACTAATGAACAAGAGCTTTAAAATAAATTATAAAAAAAAGATATTCTAAAGCAATTAAATGTTTAAATTTTCCCTCACTAGCTTTGTAATCCCCACATTTTCAAAAGGTAAAATACAGATCAATAAAATCAGACTTAGAAACTACCTCACTTGACTAAGTTGGAATGTTATATACTGAACACAATGAATTGTAGAGAATTACAGGAACAATATAGCGTTAGGAATGCATGTTTTATATACCTAATGATGTAGTTTCAATCTACCCTGTTTCGGTATGTTTCCACATAGGTGAGGTGAATGCCCATAGACGGCAAAATGCTGCACCAATCAAATGGTCTCTATAAGAACAGCCGAAATTTAAAGAAATACATTCTGTATTCCTTACAATATAGTTCCCTCTCCCACCCCTTGCAGGGAAAGCATTGCTTTCCTATGGGGATTAAACAGACACTGGATGTCCTTATACAAAGTGTGAGGGCATCCAGCATTAGTTAGGCAACCAAAAGTCGCCTAGACACCAGGTAGTGCCTCCTGTGGCTGTCTGATTGACAGCCACTAGAGGCAGTCTTAAAACTGCAATTTAATCTCTGCAGTTTCTCAAAGTGGGACTGGGACACTGCACCCAGACCACTTCAATGAGCTAAAGTGGTATGGGTGCCTACGGTGTCCCTTTAACCCGGCTATTGAGGCAAAAGCTCCTCTAGTGACTGTCAGGAAGAGAGTCACTAGAGTCATGTTAACCTTGCAATGTAAACTGCAATGTTTTCCCTTGCATGATTTAAAAGACATGGATGAAGTAGTCTGAATGCCTATAGAGTCCTTTTAAAGGATCACTATTGTGTCAGGAAAACAAAGTGGTTTTCCTGACACTATAGTGCCCTGAGGGTGCCCCCACCCTCAGGGTCCCCCTCCCATGGTGCTGAAGGGGTTAAAACCCCTTCAGCAGCTTACCTTATTCCAGAGCCGGGCTCCCTCGGCATTGGTGACCTCTCCTCTCCCGCCGACGTCAGCTCCCTCTGCCGACGTCATAGATTCAAGCTGTCAATAGGAAAGCATTTCTATGGATGCTCTGTGCGATGGAGGCATAATATGCCTCCAGTGTCACAGATGCGCCCCTAGTGACTGTCCGGAAGACAGCCACTAGAGGCTGGCTTAACCCCAAATTTAAACATAGCAGTTTCTCTGAAACTGCTATGTTTGCATCTGCAGGGTTAAAACCTGAGGGACCTGGCACCCAGACCACTTCATTGAGCTGAAGTGGTCTGGGTGACTATAGTGTCCCTTTAAGAAATGAAATGAAACATTTGGGCAAAAAGCTAAGTTGGAAAAACAATAATGAAAGAGACATGTCTCTCACAATTCCCCAGAAAAATGTAATTTTATGCAAGTACTTAGCATATGTAAGCTGTATCCCTCACACTGAATTTTACATAATGTGTAAAAGTGTTCTTATGGAAAACAATCTTCAAATATTAGGTAACCCAGCCCCGAAAACTAACATTACCTATGTAGCATGTCCCCATTCACTACAATACGGAATAATAATATAATGAAAGAAAATCTTACTTATTGCGGAACATTCAAGCACATTCTGTGTGTATACCTTTAATTGAGGGAGCATAGCCACCACATATTGCCGATAACCGTTAAACTGAGCGCATGGATTTCCCACCAGAAACAGCTCGCGAAGACAAATGTTGTGTTGGAGGCTCTTTACACTTGACAACTCTCCGACAAAGTTCACCGTGAGATCCAGCTTTTGCAGTGATTCACAGCCTGGTGTGAAAAGCATATTACTGTGAAATTAACATGTATATTTTCATAGTATAAGAGCTATTTTACAAAACGTCAAATGAAGATACATTGAAAGTCTAAAATAGAATACAATTACATCCAGCAGCAAAGAGAGGATCTATTAATAACATCCACTTGATGGACTGCTTATTATTAAGAGGTTCATGGGGCTCTATAAAAATCCTGAAGGTATATGTGTAGGAGGCTCCAAAAAGAAATAAGGTCAGTAAAGAGCTTGTCTTGATGCTCAACTGGAGCTTAACTGCTTTTAAGGAATTTTAGACCAAAATATGGAAGATCACTGAGCCCACACGGATCTCAATCAGACTCTAGGTTTGATGGATAAACAGTGGACTATGAATTTACTCTATCAAACTATCATACATTATTATTATATTATTTATATAGCGCCAACAAATTCCTTAGTGCTTTACAGTGGGTGGACGAACAGACATGTAGTTGTAACCAGACAAGTTGGACACACAGGAACAGAGGGGTTGAGGGCCCTGCTCAATGAGCTTACATGCTAGAGGGAGTGGGGTAAAATGACACAAAAAGGTAAGGATAGTATTAGACTAATAACAATTGCAAGAGAGAAATCAGTCAGGAGCTATTTTTAACAGTTTAATTGATATGCTTTTATGAAGAAGTGGGTTTTTAATGATTTTTTGAAGGAGTGGAGACTGGGTGAGCATCTAACAGAGGAGGGAAGCGAGTGAGACTGACAGAAAGATGAGGCGTGGGAGGTGCGGGCGGACAGGAAGATGAGCCTCACCGCTGCATTCATTATGGACTGTAACGGCGCAAGTTGGGAGCACGTAAGACCACTGAGAAGCAGATTACAGTAGTCAAGGCGAGAAAGGACAGTGGAATGGACCAGCACATGGAGCAACGTACCTAATTCAAAAACACAGTAGAGAGACAAGCTCTCCCCACAAAACTATTCATATCCTTTAGTCTCACCTAGTTCACTTACGGTTTTCACAGTGTTTACACCTCTTAACACAGAGTCTGAAGACTTGTTATATTCGTTAAATGGTTAATTTAATTAGCAATATTGCCATCAAATACTTCTCAATTTGGGGGAACAAATACCTTTGTCCCTCCTTTCTGTAAGGTCGAAAGGCTTGGTTTTTATAAGCAACATAGAAACATAGAATGTAATGGCAGAGAAGAACCATTCGGCCCATCTAGTCTGCCCAAAAGTAAATAAAAGTTCTCACTGCAAAGTTTTTAGAACTTGAAAACCATTTTCAGTCTCATAAATTGCTATTAATAATTCATGAAGACACCTAAAATAAATCTCATTACCATCCCCTCTTGTCTACACCCTAAAAGAAAAACACTCCTTTTTGGCTTTTTGATGTGTTGGAAGGTATATACTGGAGTTGATTACCGTAATGTTGAATTGTGTATAACTATTACTATTGTTGTGATAAGGTCAGCTTCCTTCATTGAGTAAAATAAATAGATTATGCGATCAAAATTATTTCCAATGCTGAAAGAAAGATTTAATTTGTTTTAAACATTTTAGTTTTTAAAGATTCAAAATCATGTTCCAACTGACTTATGTGTCTTAAAAGTAGCCTGGATTTCTTCTTTGTTTATTCAGACAGATTTTGCACCTCAACAATTATGTACCACGAATAATACTGCTTATTTTATGCCACAATAAAAGTGATGTAAAAAATGCCAGCAAAATAAATTACTTTTCAGTACAAATATGTGTAAATATTAAAACATAACACAAAAGAAAAAATGATGGAATGTTTAAAAAGACAATTTACACCAGAAAGAATTCACAGAAAAGCTGGAGATTATTCTGCAACACTTTGATAAATCTCCTCCAGAGTGCTGAGAGAGGGAGAGGGAGACGGAGAGGGAGATATTCTTATATATTCTTATATATTATAAGAAAGAGTACATCTCATTCAGTCTTCAATACCGCTGCTCTGCTCAAAATCTGTTTAGCTCACTCTATTCACTTGGATCAGATGATTGATATTGCACAGTTTGAAGTGTTGTGGCAGGAAATACTACAGAGATAAATTAGTCTAGTTTATAACTTCCCTTTAAATACACAATCCAACACTATGAAACATGTATGAGTAATATTACAGATCCTCAGGGAATGCGCAAATTCCGGAGGGAAAGCACTGCAAAAACTTCCATGAGGAAATTGCTGAAATATGTAACCTGGAAGCATGAACGGTATAATCATTTATTTACGAAGCACCAATATATTAAAGGAACACTATAGTATTAGGAATATAAACACGTTTTCCCAACGCTATAGTGCCCTAGAACCTATTTAATTTAAAGTCTTCTCCTAACTGCAATAAAAATTGTTTTACTTGCCCTTTTTCCAGCACGGTGGCTTCTGAGGTGCTGCTGTCCGCTCCTGTGAAGTCATCCTGGAGGCATCACTTTCTCTGTGATGGTCCAATCCAGTGCTCCTCATGTAGGAGCATTTGGGTGAGGTGATGCACGGTGAGAGCCACGCACGCATCCCATCGAATGCTTCTTATAGGAAAGCTACACTATTGTGATACTCTATCTTCTCTTACATGTAGATTAGAGGAACACTATAGCATTTGTAATACAAACCTGTATTCCTAAAGCTATAGTGCCCCTGTCCCTAGATAGATTCACCCCTCCCCGCACCTGGTTTGTCATACAAATCATAAAAAAAAAAAAAAAAAAAAAAAGCTTTTTACCAATGTTTTTGTAGACTCCTTCAGTGCTTCTCTTCTAATGACCTCCCACATCGTTATTGAGTAGGCATTCCTTTGTTTATCTGTGGTCTAATCAAATGCTCAACAAAGAGGAGCACTGGTGACCTAATGCACATGTGCTGCTAAGTGCTACGGACACATTAAATGCTTCCCATAGGAAAGCATAGAATTCAATGCTTTCCTATGATCTGCAACGTCAGTTTAGTGGAAGCGCCTCTCGTGGCTGTCAGGAAGACAGACACTAGAGGTGGATTTAACCCTGCAATGTAAACATTGTTGTTTCTACAAAACTGAAATGTCTTACATTGCAGGTTTAAAAGGACAGGATCTTTGCACCCCTCTCTAAGTAAATTAGTTTACTTACCTTTTCTCCCTCATCGTGGCTGGTCCCACCTCCATGCCTGCGATCATCAATCTTGATGATCTCAGCCAATCAAATGCTTTCCCATTGAAAAGCATTGAGAGGATATTGTGCATGTGCGGACAAATGCCACACTGCGCCAATTTGCATTTATTTATAGACATGCATTGAATCAATGCATCTCTATTGGGAACGTTCAGTACCTCCATGAAGAGTGTGGAGACGCTCAACGCCATTACTGCCCACAGTGAGGTACTGGACTAGGAAGCATCTGTAGTGGCTCTCTGAGTGACTGCCACTAGAAGTGTTCCTAAGCAGTAACGTAAACACTGCCTTTTGAAAAGGCAGCGTTTACATTGAAAATCTTGCAGGGACACACTGTAGACACCAGAAGCACTACATTAGTCTATAATGGTGTTGGTGACTATAGTGTCCCTTTAAGGATTTAGCAATTGCCATCCCAATCAAATTTAGTCCAGGCACAGCTACATTAGATAGTCGAAAGAAAAAAATAAACATTGTTTCTGTGTCTCTCCTCTCTATGCTCTTTATGCTCTCTCATCTATGCAAATCTTGCTGATGAGTTTCATCAGCCTAGCTGAAACTGCACTGAGCCAGTGTGTCCCTGCTATTTTCAAAATGATCTCATTACATGAGTGATATTAAAGTAAACATAGCTTTACCAAACTTCTACCAAAATGTCCTTGCTATAAAAAAATAAAATAGAAAAGTAAGGTTTGCTGACAGGGATTTGGGCTTGGAGTATTGTTAAAAGTTTAATGGGAGTTGAATAGAATTAGAGGGACCCTCTAAGCACCAAAACAACATAAACTTGGTGGTTTTGGTATAGAGATCGTGCCCCTGCAGTATCACTCTCTGCTCAGCTCTGTTTCCATTTAGGAGTTAAATCAATTTGTTTTGTGTACACGGTGCTTTAAGTTAGGGAAATAGAGTTTGGATTGCGATTCCTCTGGTCTATGTCAGGGGAATGTGATAAATCGAATGAAGGGAATTCCATTTCTATACAGCTGTTGGGGAATAGCTGAATTAGCAAATTTATAAGAAATTTGGCTGATTTCAACTGGTAACCAAAAGGCAGTCAGCTGGTAGCGATAATTAACGAAACCTTTAATGAAAAAATTTAACAGGTCAATCTATAAAGGAAATATTGCTATTAAAGTAGTAGGTTATGCATGGTTATTTATACAATAGCTGTGATTAGAAATGTAAAATGTACTTACCTTGTAAGTTTTCAATTTTTTCTATGTTGTTTAAAGCCAAATTTAAATATTCCAGTTTCTTGAGTTTGCTCACATTTTCTGAAATCCAAAAACAATAATTTTCTACAAATGCAACATTTTTATAATGTATTTTGAAAAACACAATTTCTAATAAACACCAAAGCCTTGGCCAGTGATGGCAGCACAGATATTTTAGACTATATTTTCCCATGACGCGCTGTTAAAAAATATCGGATAAATATGGCAGACAATAAGTGGAGTAACCGGTTGTTAGCTAGAGCTGGCATAGTCACTGCAATTTTCCCTAATACATAATTTATTTAAATTGGGAGCAAAAAAATAAATATATACTTTTTTATAAGTCAGGGAAAATTCATTTTATGCTTTAGTTGAGTGACTCTAAAAAGGTCAGTTTAATTTTAGAGAAAACCATATTTATATATGAAAATGTATTAGGTTTTTGTTTCTCAGGAACACTAACATTAAAAATAAATATATATATTTATTATTAGAGAGTGTTCTATTTTAGTTTAAATTACTGCCCCACTTCGTTTGTTATAAAAAAAATAATAATAAAAATTAGATAGCTTCTTCCATATGGGGGCTGCAATCCTATTCAGAAACTGACACTTCCTACAAAGTCTGGTTTAAATGCAACCATTAGCTTAATAATCCAGAGGAGCATCCTGAATCGTGACATAATGGACGTATAAGCTCATCTCCAGATATACCTCTTTCTAATGGTCACATCACATATTGTTATCAAAGTCTTTTCTTTCAGTATCAAATGTTTAATCTTGAAAATAAAGAGCTATAATAATAATAATAAAAATATATGTCTACCCAATATAGAAAGTAAACTGTGAAGAAAGAGAAAAAGTCAATTTGGCTTGGCGGTCAAACAAATGAAAGGACTGCATTTGTTGCATTAACAGGGGTTTCAGAATGCTTGATAAATAGAAGGTGCATCAAACCCTGTTACATAGCTCGATGGTGGTTTTAAGCTCAGACATCAATCTTTACATTGAGTGAATGTGCCAAGTCGTCCATATGCATACAAATAGGCAAGGCATGGACTTACACTATCTTTTAAAAGAAATCTAGTAGGTGCACACATTCGATGTTGAATACTTTTAAGTGTGGGGGAAATCTGGGAGCTGGAATCTGGAGGGGAGCTGGTAAGAAAGGCACACCAGAATTAAGGAGTATTGTTAAATAGGAAGTAAAGAAAATTGTATTACCAGCCATATCAATGGTAACACTTACAAGTGGATTTATATCCTCCCCTAAAACCACCTGGACAGTAAAGTGCCCCCCAAATTAAGAAAAAGCTGCCCCCTTGCATGTCTACCTCAGTATCCCTTCAGCAGAAGGGATAGATGCACTCTCCTATCACTGGAGGCTCAGGAAGTGCTGTATATTAACTCACTTGCCTCTGATTCTTTGGTTCCTGCAGAAAATCTCACAGGAACAGATCAAAGTTCTTGCGGTGCTACCTTTGTGGCCCAGGGTACCCTGGTTTGCTCTCCTGCTTTAGCTATTGGTGTTGGAACCCCTGTCAGGATTTTGGGATCTGCTAGTTCAAGGCCCACTGGTTCAGCCAGATCCAGAGAAGCTACGTCTGAAGGCCTAGAGATTGAGAGGATGAGACTGATGGATAAAGGTTTCTCAGACTCAGTTATCAACACTCTCTTGCAGGCCAGGAAGGTTTTGACTTCGTCAGCATACTGTCGTAGCGGGGAAATATTTTCAGCATCTAAGCAGCAGGTGAATACTACCTCCATAATTCCTCGATTGTCTTAAATTATTTTCACGATGGTGTCGATAAGGGGCTCATTTATTATACTCTCAAGGCCCAAGTTTCTCAAGCAACCCTTGTAAGTTTCACTCTTCTTCTTCAGCCATAAGACAGCCCTTCTGGTGGCCTTGGAATTTGAATGCAGGATATCAGAATTGGCAGCTCTCTTGCACAGATCCTTATAACATGGATAGGGTAGTCTTGAGCACTCTTACAGAATTTTAACCAAAGGTGTTATCTTCTTTCCACATTAATCCAGACACTGTGCTTCCCACATTAAACTCCTCTCCTAGAAATTCAGCAGATTTGGAAAATTTGGAAAAATTTGGAAAAAGAGAGTGTTCTGGTACCTCCAGATTACACATTCATTCTACTAAGGCATTATCATTATTTTGTTCAGCTGGCATTTACTCCAGACCAAATCTGTAAAGCTGCGACCTTGTCCAATATCTCCACATTTGTGAAACACTACGGTCTGGAAGTCAGGTCCTCCATGGATAGTGCTTTTGGCACAGCAGTGGTTAATGCTTGGCTACGTCTTAACTATTTCTACAATAAACGTTATTTTGCCGTACTATTCTTTGTATGCCTCTCTATTGCCCACCCTGATCTTATGCCAAGGATATCGCCACAAAACAGGAAAATTCATACCTACTGATATTTTCCTTTCTTAGTAATATGCCGTGGCAGCACTGTGTATTCGCTCCAGATTTCCTTTTGAGTTGGTTGGACTTTGAAACTGACTGAGGGGGAAATGGAAGGTGGCAGCCTTCTATTAATTTGGGGACATGTTACTGTCCAATAGGGTTTTAAGGATACAAGCCAACTTGTAAGTCCTGTCATGGTATATTACCAGGAAAGGAAAATATCAGCCAGTATGATAATGTGATATTATAAATAAATACACTGTTCAAGGCATCCGAAGTTCCAATCACCAAGTTCTAGGCCTTAACCCCTTAAGGACACATGACATGTGTAACATGTCATGATTCCCTTTTATTCCAGAAGTTTGGTCCTTAAGGGGTTAAAGGTGCCCTTCAAATTATACATATAAGTTGTAGAAATAAAAGCATCATACCTATTTTCGGGATGAGGTTGTTCTGTAGATACAGGATTTTTAACTCTTTACACCACTTGTCTATGTGTTCAATCCGTTCTAAGTCTTGCTGATGGAGAGCGATTTCCTCCAAGGAAAATATTTCACAGTTGTTGTGTTCCGCTCGCCTCCTGATCAAATCTTCTGTGACTGAATGAAACAATGTTACTTTTACAAGGTACATAGATATTTAAAACTGTATTTAATAAATTGCAGTTACAGGGGTAACAAACAATGTATGTTCCCGTATATTAGGCAAATCATGATTAGGTTTGTGACTAGGTGTCAGATCCGGTATATTAAACCCTTTAAGGCACTTCTATTAAAACTCTTAACCTCCCCATCTGTATAGAACTTAGATGCATGGAAACATAAAAGTGCATTAATCAAATAAATGAAGGAGTTAAAGGTGAAGCCCAATGATCATGGAAAACAATACGTTTCTTTGAGCAACAACACTGAGGTCTAAATGGTGTAACGTGCTTATATTATTATTGTGACATTATGCATACTTCATCATCTGTATTTCTACAGCCCCCTAAACAGGAAACAACATCTACCAGCAAAACAAACTGTATAGATTTAATATGTTTTAATCTTGTTTGATCCTTTCTACAAAGATCAATGGTCGAATGATCCCTCCACATCACTGCTGTCCAACATATTTGGAGAGATCTGTTTGGACAGATCAGCTGGGAGTGAGGAGTTGGACTCCACACTGAGGTCCAGACACGAAAGACTAATCCATAAATATCTGCCTTCTCTCCACTGCCTTTTTATGTCTTCTGTTGAAATTCACATTCTTATTCCACCCCTCCCCTTTTTATTCTAACATTCCCTCCCTGTCTTTTCTTTTTATTTAACCACATGCTTTAATTTTTTATTTGTGCCCCTTCCTCATTATTTACCCCTTCCTTATTTCCAGATGTATATATTTTGTAATACGTTACTGCTTAACTCTTATTTTCCCTCCCTTGCTTTTTAAAGCTTCCTACCACTGGCCACAGATAAGGGCCTGGTGGACCACATACCAGAATAGTGAAATCTGAGCATACATTCGTTTAATATTGTTTAGCAGAATGAAATAAGATAACAGTGCTAAACATACATTAATAAAGGAACACGGTTATTATTTATAAGGCCTCTATGCTCCAAGCCGTACTTCCATCTTCCTTACAGATGTTCTCATGGAGTGCAATCTAAATAAGTGGTGTATTTTCAGCAGAAAATGTTAGATTAGGGAAGAGTAAGCTAATGGCCCTTACAGGCTAAGCACCATAATGTGTCCACCTAATGTTGCCAGATACTTTCCCCCTGTCCCATGGCTCAATTAGAGTATGGAATTCCCATGTTGGTGAAATTAACTCAAGCAATTAATCTCAGTAGTTCCCACTTATTATACTGATATTAACATAGTCTACGTAACGTCAGTAAGAATTTATTTTGGTGTTTTTATTGCATAGGGATGACATAAATTATAATAAAATACTGTGGTAAATATCGAACAACAAAGGTTATGCTGGGTGCAGGTGGCTCAGCGGTAAGTCCTCAGCTGTTCTAATACTACAACTCCCTTCCACTGGATAGGCTGCCTTCTGCCCCTGCAGCTGTTTTAAACAACATTTCCCATCATGCTTAGTCATCCAAATAATTAGATGGTTTATTTACCTAATTCAGAATTGGAGCAAATTGGAATCTGAATGGTAACATTCTCTCCAGCGCAGATATAAACACAGTCTGGCTTTCAATCTGAATTTTGCCACTTGGATTTCAGTTACCTTCAATTTGGCTTTTAGTGAATAACCCTGTAAGTGTGAATCAAATAAATATAGTCCACAACACGTGCAGGGACAGGCTCCTGCCTCAGTACCATGTGAAGAATCAGCACAAGCTGCAGCAGCATGGCTGGCTGAGAGTTGTGGGAAAGGCAAACCATAACAGGTGCAAGGACAAGTCCCTGACTCAGTACCATGTGGAGAATCAGCACAAGCTGCAGCAGCATGGCTGGCTGAGAGTTGTGGGAAAGGCAAACCATAACAGGTGCAAGGACAAGTCCCTGCCTCAGTACCATTTGAAGAATTAGCACAAGCTGCAGGAGCATGGCTGGCTGAGAGTTGTGGGAAAGGCAAACCATAACAGGTGCAGGCGAGAATAGCTGGCTCAGCATAATGGGAAAATTAGAAAACAGCTAAAGCAAAGCCAGAGGCCTGCCTGAGGGTCATAATAAATGCCATTTACAACAGCTGTAGGGGTGGGGGGGGCTGGCTGGCTGAGGGTCATGATAAATGCCCTTTATAGCAGCTGTAGAGGGGGCTGGCTGGCTGAGGGTCATGATAAATGCCCTGTATAACAGCTGGAGAGGGGGCTGGCTGGCTGGCTGAGGGTCATGATAAATGCCTTTTATAACAGCTGTAGAGGGAGCTGGCTGGCTGAGGGACATGATAAATGCCCTGTATAACAGCTGTAGAGGGGGCTGGCTGGCTGAGGGTCATAATAAATGCCCTGTATAAAAGCTGTAGAGGGGGTTGGCTGGCTGAGGGTCATGATAAATGCCCTTTATAACAGCTGTAGAGGGGGCTGGCTGAGGGTCATGATAAATGCCCTTTATAACAGCTGTAGAGGGACTGGCTGGCTGAGGGTCATGATAAATGACATGTATAACAGCTGTAGGGGGGGACTGGCTGGCGGAGGGTCATGATAAATGCCTTTTATAACAGCTGTAGGGGGACTGGCTGGCTGAGGGTCATGATAAATGCCCTCTATAACAGCTGTAGGGGGACTGGCTGGCTGAGGGTCATGATAAATGCCTTTTATAACAGCTGTGGGGGGGACTGGCTGGTTGAGGGTCATGATAAATGCCCTTTATAACAGCTGTGGGGGGGGGATGGCTGGCTGAGGGTCATGATAAATGCCTTTTATAACAAGCTGTAGGGGGGCTGGCTGGCTGAGGGTCATGATAAATGCCTTTTATAACAGCTGTAGGGGGGCTGGCTGGCTGAGGGTCATGATAAATGCCCTGTATAACAGCTGTAGGGGGGACTGGCTGGCTGAGGGTTAAGCTGATATCAGGATCACCGACTGACAAGGGATTATATTATTATTTATAGTAATACTCACTGAACACCATGGCTTCGCCTGTTAGTAAATCGCTTTCAAATTTAGCGCCGGAAAAATAAACTCAGATTAAGATGCATAGGGTGTAGCCATGGCAACCACACTGAGTTACAGCAAGCGCAGAGGGACAAACTTCCTCAAAACCGGATCTGTCACTCATTCCCGTCCCCATGACAACCGAGCAGGGATACAGCAAGCTCAGAGGTACAAACTTCCTCAGATCCTGTGACGCGCCACACCGGAAATGACGTTTCACAGCTGGCGGAGGAGGAGCGCAGACGCAGAAGGACAAGTAGGCGAAGGTTTTATCCACAGTATGGGGAGAAGAGGCTGCCTAATGCGCGTGCGCGACCGGGACACACTGCGCCTGCGCCAGGAGCCACTAAGTACTCCCATCGGACACGGCGCGTGCGCACCAGCGGGCAGGGAGAGCTCAGATGGAGCATTCATCCGATCTCCCTGCACCACACTGCGCATGCGCCCACCCAGCCAGGGTGTTCTATCAAATTTCAACAGCCAGGTCCTGGAAGGCAAGTAACACAGCCAGGTCCTGGAAGGTAACACGGCCAGGTCCTGGAAGGCAAGTAACACAGCCAGGTCCTGGAAGGCCAGTAACACAGCAAGGTCCTGGAAGGTAAGTAACACGGCCAGGTCCTGGAAGGCAAGTAACACAGCCAGGTCCTGCAAGGCCAGTAACACAGCAAGGTCCTGGAAGGTAAGTAACACGGCCAGGTCCTGGAAGGTAAGTAACAGCCAGGTCCTGGAAGGTAAGTAACACGGCCAGGTCCTGGAAGGTAAGTAACACGGCCAGGTCCTGGAAGGTTAGTAACACTGCCAGGTCATGGAAGGTAAGTAGCACGGCCAGGTCCTGGAAGGTAAGTAACACAGCCAGGTCCTGGAAGGTAACTAACACGGCCAGGTCCTGGAAGGTAAGTAACAAGACCAGGTCCTGGAAGGTAACTAACACAGCCAGGTCCTGGAAGGTAAGTAACAAGTGACCGTATCGCTGCTTACACTGTGACTGTATTGCCTAAACACTGCTTGCACTGTGACTATCACCTAAACACTGCTTACACTGTGACCGTATTGTCTAAACACTGCTTACACTGTGACTATCACCTAAACACTGCTTACACTGTGACTGTATTGCCTAAACACTGCTTACACTGTGACAATCACCTAAACACTGCTTACACTGTGACTGTATTGCCTAAACACTGCTTACACTGTGACCGTATTGCATAAACACTGCTTACACTGTGACTATCACCTAAACACTGCTTACACTGTGACTGTATTGCCTAAACACTGCTTACACTGTGACAATCACCTAAACACTGCTTACACTGTGACTGTATTGCCTAAACACTGCTTACACTGTGACCGTATTGCATAAACACTGCTTACACTGTGACTATCACCTAAACACTGCTTACACTGTGACTGTATTGCCTAAACACTGCTTACACTGTGACAATCACCTAAACACTGCTTACACTGTGACTGTATTGCCTAAACACTGCTTACACTGTGTCTATGGTGAAAGGGACCATCAGATCTCCCTACCCCCATACTGCGTACGCGCGATGTCCGTGCGCGAGGCTGTCCTGCCTTGGTAGGCGCGTGCGCAGTGTGGGTCAGGAAGATCAGATGAATGCTCCATCTGAGCTCTCCCTGCCCGCTGGTGCGCATGCGCGGTGTCCGATGGGAGTACTTAGTGGCTCCTGGCGCAGGCGCAGTGTGTCCCGGTCGCGCACGCGCATTAGGCAGCCTTTTCTCCCCATACTGTGAATAAAACCTTCGCCTATGGGAGTACTTAGCCGCACGTGCACACTGGCCCTACCGCACCCCCCCTTGTGGCTCCTGGCGCAGTGTGTCCCGGTGTGCAGCTGATGGCTGTCGCGCACGCGCATTAGGTGACCTCTTCTCCCGTACTGTGGATGAAAATTTCACCTAACTGTCCTTCTGCGCCTGCGCTCCTCCTCCTCCAGCTGTGAAACGTCATTTCCGGTGCGGCCGCATCACAGGAAGTGACACGGGTATAGCATTCTGACAGAACACCGGATCTGTCACTCATACCCCTCTCCATGACAACTGAGCAGGGATACAGCAGGCGCAGAGGGACAAACTTCGTCAGATCCCGCGTTCTGTTAGATTCCGTTATTTTCAGATTGTTTCACAGGCTCCACCCTCGCTCTTTCCAACACAGGATGCTACTGCCTGCCCAGTACAGTCCTAGGACCGCCTCCACCGGCCCTGCCCACAACATCTTAACCCCGCCCACAGAACGCTGTCACTCATATTCGTTCCCCTGGCCACCATGCAGGGATACAGAGAGCGCGGAGGGACAAACTGCCTAAACACTTTGTCTTTCGCTTATGTCACTTGTAACCATGGCAACCAAGCTGGGCTAGAGCTAGCGCGGACAGACCATCTTTTTAACACTGGGCGTCACTCAATCTGGTAACTATGGTAACACAGCCGACCTACAGTAGGTGCAGAGGGAAAATCCTCCTCAACACTCGGTTTGGCTTTTATACATCCTGGTCAGATCAGAGGTGGCTCTCTGTAGGTTGGTGTTAGGCGGCTGATTACGGTAACTCTCCTTGGGGCAGAGAGCCCGGCACTGGGAGAGGCAGTCTGCCAAGGGGAGAGAGCCCAGCGCCGCGCGGTGCAGAGCTGCAGATCACATGACAGAGGTCTCCCGAGCTCGGCCAATCAGAGAGCTGCCACTAGTTACCATGTTAACGCTCTGACGCTCTGCACCCCGCGGAGCTAGCCCATCTGACCACTAGGGAACAGCAGAAAATAAAGGTATTTCAATGTGGGAAAGCGTGTCACTAAAACACAGCCTCCTCCTACTGTGACCCTATACATTGCCCCCTACTGTCACCCTCACACACACTGACCCATACACTGTCACCCTGTACATTGCACCCACACTGTCACCCTCCCACATACTGTCACCCTATACATTGCCCCCCTACTGTCACCCTCCCACACACTGTCACCCTGTACATTGCACCCACACTGTCACCCTCCCACACACTTACCCCAACACTGTCACCCTCCCACACACTGATCCCCACACTGTCACCATATACATTGCCCCCTGCTGTCACCCTCCCACACACTGACTCCCACAATGTCACCCTATACATTGCCCCCACACTGTCACCCTCCCACAAACTGACTCCCACACTGTCACTCTATACATTGCCCCCTACTGTCACCCTCCCACAGAGGTCAACCTATACATTGCACCCACACTGTCACACCCGCACTCTGCCCCTCACACTGTCACATCCCCCCCACACACTGTCACCCTCCCACACACTGCCTCCCACAATGTAACCCCCACACACACTGACCTCCACACTGTCACCCCCCCACACACTGTCACCCTATACACTGCCCTCCTACTGTCACCCTCCTACACAATGTCACCCCCCACAATGTCACACCCCCCACACACACTGTCACCCTCCCACACACTTCCCCCTCAATGTCACACCCCCCACACTTGCATACACATTGTAGCCCTTGCCCTCAGCGCTCCCCACACTGCCTTCACACACATATTGTCACCTCCCCACACACTGTCAGTCTGTCAGCATTACACACACTGCCCTACAAATTGTCACCCTCCCACACTGTCATCCCCACATGCTGTCACCCTCCCACACTCACATTAACCCCTATTGAAGTGGTCACTCTCACCCCTCCAACCATACCACACTTACCTGCCCTTGCTCTGCCACCCCCCCACACTTGCACACACATTGTAGCCTTTGCCCTCAGCGCTCCCCACACTGCCTTCACACACATATTGTCACCTCACCACACACTGCCAGTCTGTCAGCACCACACACACTTCCCTACAAATTGTCACCCTCCCACACTCTCATCCCCACATGCTGTCACCCTCCCACACTCACATTAACTCCTCCTAAAGCGGTCACTCTCACCCCTCCAAGCATACCACACTTACCTGCCCTCGCTCTGCCACACTCACCCTATCACATTAACCCCTCCTAATCCTGTAACACTCATTTTCTCTCGCACTTTCACACTCACCCTCAGTCTGGTCACACTCATCCTCTATCACTATGTCACACTCCTTCTCCTTTATCCTGCTTCACAGGGTGACTATCACATTAATCCCTCCAAGGCTGTCACTCATCCTCTCAAACCATGCCACACTCGCCCTGTCACTTGAACCCCCTAACCCCGTCACACTCACCTCCTTTGTATGTCACATTGATCTCCCAGCCCCTCCGTGTGTCTCTTTGCCCTCAACCCCTCTCTGTGTGTCTCTTTGCCCCCAGCCTCTCTGTGTGTCTCTTTTCCCCCCAGCCCCTCTGTGTGTCTCTTTATCCCCTCCATTTAAAATTCAAAGTTGGAGCAGGAGTGTTAGTCGACCATCTTACCTTCAGGGATTAGGCTGTGTAAATAAGGTGATTTATAAGTGTTGATTTAGTCCTGTAATAGATGCTTTTATTAAACAGGAGGAAAATAAATTAGGCGCTTTTGGTACCTAAATTATCTGTTTAACCATCTCTTCTTCCTCATTACACAGTTTTATAATTCTCCATGGTGTGAAGCCCCCACCATTAAAGTGTTGGACACTAGTTTCTTATACATGATTGATTGAGAAACTTTTAGAGTGCACCTAACAATATCCATCTTGCCAGAAACAAAAAAATATAATTCATTGTTTATTTATTGTGTTTTCAATATATTTATTCCAGTAAAATACAAATATCAATAAAAAAAATCTCAGTACCTGCACATACCAGTACCTGCACTAATTGTTTCAACAACTTTATATATTAGCTAAAACTTGTTAAAATGTGCTTAGAGTGCTTATGCATAAACATTTTATATATAATAGGCATATTAAATTACTGAGCTTTAAATAGCTTACATTCAGAGATTATTCATTAAATAGTGCATTGATAAGCAGATTGCAAAATGTAGGCCCATTATCTAAACTGGAAGTATTACTAATTTCAGCTATTTTTCAAACAGTTCTAAAGTTTGCTGTTCAGCTGTTATTTCACCACTATTTAAGTCACAGATCATTCTGTTAAGTGCTACATTGCAGTAAATATATTATTGCATTTTTTTTTTCAAAGTCAGAAATAAGGGACATGCCCTAACCAATCAGATAATTAAATAATAAAATAACTTAAAGGATTACTTTAACCACCATGACCACGTCAGTAGTTTGAAGTGGTCATGCTGGTGGGAGTCTGTATGTGCAACGTTTCTGGTTGAAACATTGCACATACACGGAAGCCTGCACTTTTGTGTCGGGCCAGTTACACCCTTGGCACACGTGACTTCAGCAGCCAGGACTGCCAAATGTCAGTTCTGTGCATAAAAAAAAAACATTCATCGTCAGGGCACACAGCATGCTGGCAATGGACATGTTAAGCTTTTCTCTTGAGGGCTCCCGCCTCCCAACAAACTCCATAATTCCTTTTCTATTTTTTTTTTATTATTACATTTTCCACCACGCTTTCTATCCAATCTCCCTCCCCTCGCCAGCTTAGATTGTGCACATGAGCCAGCAAAACGGTCCAATGAGAAGTCTGTGATTGGACCGTGCTCTTTGCCCAAAGCTGTATTCCAGGTGAGTAAAAAAACTTTCTTTTTTTTTTTTTGGTTTTATTGCAAACCCTTTAATGGGTTACTCCAACTGGAAACCAGTGTTTGTTTGTTTTTTTTTGTTTTTTTTATTAAACACTGGTTTTAGTTGTAGTAATTATTTCTGTGGTGGTCCTCTGCCACCACCAAACGGCAAAACAAAATGCTTTAACTTATTTTAATGCTGAGGCCAAGTTCTCCCTCAGCACAATCTTTGTCTGCTGACATCATTCCCTGTCACAGAAGGGGGAGAAAAGTCAGAGAGGATGGTCGAGGGTAGGACAGGAGCGGCACAGCCACCACTGGAACTTTGTCGACAACATTCTGTGTGTGTTTGCGTCAGAAATCAATTTTACACAGAATTGATATTAACCAGCCTGGAACTGTGTAATGACACTGCCAGAGTTGGTTACACCTCTGACAGCTAAGAGTTCATCTCTGTATGATGCTGCACATACAGACTGCAGGCACCTTGACCACCTCAAATCACTGAAGTGGTTATGGTACTTGGAGTAACCTGTTAATATTAAAGTTAACAATGGGCTGAAAAATGGTGGCATGAATCAGGATAATGACAGAACTGGCTTTTGGTATGGAGTGAGCTGAAACATGATTCCGGATAATACGGATATATACACAAACTGGAAAAATTCACCAAGTCACCATTGTTTTCCGTTCAAATATTTTAGCCTAAAATGTAAAATTAATTTTGAATTTTCTTTAGATTCCTGACAATTCTCACTTTAGTGGAAAACCCTATAAAGTATCTGTGCTCAAGATTGCTGGGCACATAATGAGGCCATAAAACATTACTCGAGAGACAGAGGAAGGGCTATTTTGACCTTACATTTAAAATTCAGTTTGAAGTCCCGGCAATTCTGGATGGTGAGGAAAGGGTTAAAACTTACCTTTTTCCCAGCGCCGGGCGGGGAGCTCTCCGCCTCCGATCCTCCTCTTCGGCTGAATGCGCATGCGCGGCAGGAGCAGCGCGCGCATTCAGCCAGTCTCATAGGAAAGCATTCATAATGCTTTCCTATGGACGCTGGCGTCTTCTCACTGTGATTTTCACAGTGAGAAGCACGCAAACGCCTCTAGCGGCTGTCAATGAGACAGCCACTAGAGGCTTTAGAGGCTGGATTAACCTGTTTATAAAAAAAAAGGGTTAATCCTAGAGGGACCTGGCACCCAGACCACTTCATTAAGCTGAAGTGGTCTGGGTGCCTAGAGTGGTCCTTTAAGGGTTAACAAGTGTGTAAAAATACATAAAATATCCCTATCTGTCTCATTAGAGATTTTACCTTTTGGCTTTAACCCCTTAAGGACCAAACTTCTGGAATAAAAGGGAATCATGACATGTCACACATGTCATGTGTCCTTATGGGGTTAAAGCATTAAAGTAATTTGTTAATGTAGGACTCACCCAAGAGGTGAGCTTACACTTTAATGGCCATTGGAGTGATACTAAAAATCTCTTGTTATTTAAATGTGCGCAGGGATTTGGAATAGAGCAACAATAACTCTTTTTGCTTTTATTCTATTCATTTGGGCTGATGGATATAGTAGCTATTGCTGCCGCCCAGGAGTAGTAGGAGTTTGAATGTATAGCTTAATTTGAGTATTAGTACAAAGTCTTTTTAACCTGTCAGGATTCTTATCTTTGGTGATCCTATAAAGATTATAAATACATATTCTGATTGTTTTGAACTGCCATCAATATTTCATGTAACGTTCCAATTGACTCTATCATGACATGTATCACCCTGCTTCTTTAGTTGAACATCTGAATGATACAATAAGTATTAACCAAAAAGTGAGATACAGTTTGTGATAAAAGTATTTGAATCTCTACTGATTTTGAGCGTTTGCCCACTGACAAAGAAATGATCGGTCTATAATTTTAATGGTAGGTGTATTTTAACAGTGAGTGACGGAATAACAGAAAAAAAGAAAATCCAGAAAAACGCATGTCAAAAAAGTTATACATTGATTTGCATGTCAATTAGTGAAATAAGTATTTGACCCCTTCAACTTAGTACTTGGTGGCAAAACCTTTGTTGGCAATCACAGGTTTTGCCATCAAGTACTAAGTCGAAGGGGTCAAAGTTTCTTGTAGTTGGCCATCAGGTTTGCACACATCTCAGGAGGGATTTTGTCCCACTCCTCTTTGCAGATCCTCTCCAAGTCATTAAGGTTTCGAGGCTGACGTTGGGCAACTCGAACCTTTAGCTCCCTTCACAGATTTTCTATGGGGTTAAAATCTGGAGACTGGCTAGGCCACTCCAGGACCTTAATGTGCTTCTTCTTGAGCCACTCCATTGTTGCCTTGGCTGTGTGTTTTGGGTCTTTGTCATGCTGGAATACCCATCCACGACTTATTTTCAATTCCCTGGCTGAGGGAAGTAGGTTCTCATCCAAGATTTGATGGTACATGGCCCCGTCCATCGTCCCTTTGATACGGTGCAATTGTCCTGTTCTCTTAGCAGAAAAATACCCCCAAAGCAAAATGTTTCCACCTCCATGTTTGACGGTGGGGATGGTGTACTTGGGGTCATAGGCAGAATTCCTCCTCCTCCTCCAAACACGGCGAGTTGAGTTGATGCCAAAGAGCTCGAGTTTGGTCTCATCTGACCACAGCACTTTCACCCAGTTCTCCTTTGAATCATTCAGATGTTCATTGGCAAACTTCAGACAGGCCTGTACATGTGCTTTCTTGAGCAGGTGGACCTTGCAGGCACTGAAGGATTTCAGTCCTTCACGGTGTAAAGTGTTACCAATTGTTTTCTTGGTGACTATGGTCCCAGCTGCCTTGAGATCATTAACAAGATCCCCCCGTGTAGTTCTGGGCTGATTCCTCACTGTTCACCTGAACACTGAAACTCCACAAGGTGAGATTTTGCATGGCGCACCAGACCGAGGGAATAATCACACCAACTGTTTTCACCTTCTCACCAAGCTGCTTAGCGATGGTCTTGCAGCCCATTCCAGCCTTGTTTAGGTCTACAATCCTGTCCCTGACATCCTTGGACAGCTCGTTGGTCTTGGCCATGGTGGAGAGTTTGGAATCTGATTGATTGATTTCTTCTGTGGACAGATGTCTTTTATACAGGTAACAAGCTGAGATTAGGAGCACTCCCTCTAGGAGAGTGCTCCTAATCTCATCTTGTTACATGTATAAAAGACACCTGGGAGCCAGAAATCTTGCTGATTGATAGGGCATCAAATACTTATTTCACTCATTGACATGCAAATCAATTTATAACTTATTTGACATGCATTTTTCTGGATTTTATTTTTTATTATTCTGTCTCTCACTGTTGAAATACACCTACCATTAAAATTATAGATTGATCATATCTTTGTCAGTGGACATACGTTCAAAATCAGCAGAGGATCAAATCCTTTTTTTCCCTCACTGTAGATATACAGTGTTACTTCTTCCTAAAATGATAAATGCGTATATATAAAGCTATTTGTGAAGGTTAACCTAGGACATTATATTTTTGCCCCCACTAACCCCCTTGATTAATGGTTTTACTGTTAGAATATAGATTATTGCCACACCTGGGCTCCAGAGGAAAAGTAGGGCTTGGTTACTGTACTGTATTGTAGACTTCTAAGCAAACCCAATCACTTGCACATTTAACATCTCAATGGTGGGTAGAAACGTAACATATTGTTACTTTCATTATTTGTGATAGAGACATCATCTGTCACAGCTTATTCATGACATTGATGATATTATGTACAAGTTAAATATTTGTCATACAAACACTATTAATCCTACTAAGCGTTTAACTTTTAGATCCTATTCCAGCCACATAGTCATAAATAAGAAAACTAGTTGGTCATTTTTGTTTCTTTTCTCTATTTTGAATAGTAAGTAGAGCAATCAGCGGTGATGAATGACATTCTCCTCATGAACCTGTGGAAAAGAATAAATTAGAACGTTATTCAATAACTCAATTATTATTCTTGAAAACTAAAACGCATCTACTTTCTCAACACAGAGGCTGCCATGAAAAAAATTTACCTCTTAAACCCTCATGTTGAAATCATGACTTCAGAAAGTATTCAAAATTACAAAAATAAAATAAAAAAATGATGCACTAAAAGTAGGTTGTGGCTTTCTTTGTTAAAATTATCAATTGCCATTACATGTCTGGCGCACCTGTCATGTTATTATTATTTATAAAACACTATCAAATTCTGCAGCGCTGTACAATAGGTGGACTACAACAAGACAAGTTGGACGGACAGGAATAGAGTGTAGAGAGCTTACATTCTAGAGGGAGTGAGGTAAAGTGGCACAAGAGGTAAGGCTGGGATGTACTTCGTGTATGGAAAAAGTAGGTCGCAAGAAGAGTTTACAGTGAAGGCTTAGTTTTGTAGATGACGACACCGTTGCAGGAGAGGAGGCTGGTTAGTGAGGTGTGGGGAGAGAAAGCAGTTAACGGTTTAATAAGCTTTCTTGAAGTTTGTAGTGAAGATTTATTGGAGCAGTTTTAAAGAAATGGTGCAGCCCTAGAGAAGTTTTAAAGAGTATGAACAGAGGACATTGAAGGTCTTCAGCAGAGTTTGATGGCCTGGATGGGACATACTTGTGTTTTAGTGAGGGTAGGTAGACAGGAGCAGTATTAGGAAGAGATTTCTAAGCAAGGAACAGACTTTTAAATTGATGCCTATATCTTACAAGAAGCCAATGCAATAACTGATAGGAGGACAGAAAGAGGAGCCTTGCCGCAGCATTCATTATAGTCTGTAGCAAGACATGCCGTCATAGTCAGGGCCGGCCATGTAAATTAACTGGATCCCCATGGTTCTGTATGCTCAGGTATGACGCTTTACAAGGAAATGTTTGAGCATTCATTGACATGTTTAGAATTTCTTTGCAGATACCTTGCAGAACTGAGGGGCAACGGCATTACTGCACTCCTCATTCAGTTCGCATTTCAATAGCAATTACTGGGGTGGGAGAATCAGGACTCAGCTTCCTAACACTTTCAATGAAGGGGACAAGGTGGGACAGCCTGCAAACATGCAAACTGAGGACTCGGGAATCATACAGAAGGAAGGGGAGTCTGTGATCATGCACAATGAGGGGGAGACTGCAATCGTACAATAAGAGCAGCGAGTTTCTATGCAACATTTGTACATTTATCTGCACACACTTACATTTTGATTGCTTTGAGCTTCAGTAATTCTTGTTTGTGGAAGAGCAAAATCTGTGAAAGGTAAAATCAACAATTATAGCAGTTGCAGAATTGAATAAAATATGATATAATTTCTAAATGAGCAATTTGGTCACTAGTGCTAATGGGTAGACAGGAGGGAACATATGTCATAACATATCTGAACAAAAGAGTAAGGCGATTGTTTGCTTGATTTTTTTTTGGGGGGGGGGTTAAGTAACTAATGGTTATATTTTAAAAGAATATATTTTTTGTGTTAATCACAGAAAAAGTATATAAAATGAACAGTATGGATGAGCTCACATAATCTTTATTACCAAGCCTTTTGGCCTATAAGCCCCTCAGAAACATTTCACAAGGATCACAGAAAACACATTAGATCACTAGGCCCAAAAAATGTTTCATGCACAACCTATATAGAATCATGCCCAGAAAGAATGGCACTGGGAAGCAGGCTGATAGACTTTCAGACTTGGCGCCACGCAAGATTGTAATTAAGTCATATGCAGCTGCAAGTCGCACAAGTGAGGTCATTTAAATTTTTAACACAGGTCAGACGTACCTTGCTCCTGATTGGGAAAACACCAACAAAGCCCAGGTCTACAGATTTAGGGTTAAACACTAAATAATGCAATGAAGCGATCAGAATCTGAATTGCAAAATGTTGGCCACAATAATTGATTTGGCTATTGGAGCATTAATTCAGCATTTTTCATTTCACTGCAGTTCATTCTTTGGTGAGAAACCCACAGTGTCTGGCCACCAACTATCCGATCCAAAGATCAACGAGTTAACAATCACGCTATACTCTGCACAGTTCCGGCAGTATTGTATGGCACAGAGGATCGCTGAAGAGTGCTTACATCTAAAAGCAGTTCTTTTCAGACACATGGGGATTACATTACTGGCTGCTTACTAAGCACTTCTAAATATCTGCTAAGTGCCTCTTATTTGAGTAGTAAATTCGACCCCTTGCACTTTGTGAAACCTACTTCTGTACAAATTTTTGCCAACTTTTCAATTTCCAGATCTTATTTGTGTCTGCAGTGAAGACATGCTTAGCTTATTTCCCACGCATTATGAACACCCAGTCCACTTACTGTCAGATTAATCCGTAATATTGTCTTTTACTGTAACAGCAATGTGTCGGACATGTAGGTGTTGCATTGAGTGCCACTGATAATTTGGTGGGGGCAATGCAATAACAAAGAGAGCGCAAGTTGGCTTGAAGCTTGCATGTGTACCAGACTGATTGCCAGCTGTACTGGCCAGCCTACCCTAAGGGTTGACCATGTACAGAGTGATCCTGAAGTGGTTATAATACATTGAATACATTTCGTGAAATTAATTCAAAATATTTGAACCATATGGGAGCACTTCAGTGCAATTGCATCTTCATTCTCCTAGTTATGCCTTTTTCGCCACATCATGCCACTTGTGAGCTCCCTA